TTGAGAGATAGGTGGCGGTAATGCACTTATAAGTCTGCGATCTGCCATAAAGCAAGAAGAAGAAGACACGTCACGCACCGGCTGTTGAGAACGCACTCAGGACAGTTCGGACATTGCAGTGAATCAGAGGTAAAAAACGGTACAAATACTGTTCAGTTTCTTGCACAGACCGATCGTTTCGTGTCTTTATACATCAATGTATCGTCACGAGCCGCAGGGTTTAATTTGGTTTTGTTTGTGTATGGCTTTTTGACTCTCAAATCTGTGATTCCCATCCACTTACATTATATGACTGACAGACTGCAACTGTTTGAGTTAAAAATCTTCGTTTGTGTTCTACTGAAGAAACAAAGTCACCAACATCTTGGATGCCCTGGGGGTAAGCAGATAAACATCACATTTTCATTTTTGGGTGAACTATCCCTTTAAAGGTGGGGTAAGCGATTTTTCAAAAACGCTTTAGAAAACTGATTCGGGCCGACTAGAAAAACAAAATTGTAATAAGAAAACGTCTGCAGAACAAAAGAAGGCTTAAGGCAAGAAGTAGGACCCGTGTAAATATCGGATCAGCTTTCCAGCGCTGGAGAGAACACAAGGAGCGGAAGACATGCACCGCAACAGCTAAAGTCTGTCTAGTACACTGGACGCGACAAAGCGACCGTTGAAAATCATTTGAAATTTGTGTCAATATGTCATGAATAGAACGCAGCAGCAGTTTTCTGTCTGGGATTTGTCATGCCGCACCGCATCTAGTGTAGACCATAGATATGTATATATATATCTATGGTGTAGACCGCATCACTGATTATAATGAGTTCCATAGTTTTGCTTTGTTTCACAGAACTAATCGTTGCCTGGGTTGCATACTTATGTGTGGGGCGGAGCTATCAAAATAGGGGCGAGACCTTTTTGGGGTAGGGGCGTGTTTGTTTTGGTGATTTCAAATGTCAACATTGGCTTCCAGAAATCACTTACCCCACCTTTAAAGCTGCAGTACTCAAGGGGGCGATAGAGTTTCCTTCACTGCAAAAAATGATGATCTTAGTATTTTTGTCTTGTTTTCTAGTACAAACATCTGAAAATCTGTAAATCAAGATGCATTTACTTGATATGCAAAATGACAAGATTTTAAGTATTGTTTTCAGAAAGAATCATCAAAATTAAATGAGTTTCTGCTTAAAACAAAAAAAACAATCAAATACTAAACACGGAGGGAATACATTTTTATTATCCGATTGAGAGCTATTTTTTATTCTTGTTTTAAGCACAAAGTCACATAATTTTAATGAATGTTTTAGCAAACAAAACTATTTCTACTTGAAAACTAGACGAAAATGCTAAGAAAATAATTTTTGCAGTGTAATATAAAGTAAGATATTTCCTCCAGAACCATAACATAAACTGCAAACAAACTGATTTGTAACATTTTATCATTTTTAATAATAGTCATTTTTGTATTAATAATATTATATCATTTTTTTTAATAATAGCCTTGCTCTTGGAAGTTTGCTGAGGCCCTCTAGTGGTTCCCGGCCTCCTGCACCATTTAATCAAGTGTGATATTCAGGTTGCTGTAAACAACTAACTTGAACCTATAGCTAAATTTAACTTGACCAGCAAGATTCTCTTCTGTCATGGTGAAACAACAGATTATGGTTGACATGGAAGAGTAAACTGGCAGAAAGTTTGTGCAAATGCTGCTTATGCGCTTCTGTTGCATCAGTAAATTACGTTGATGGAAACATTGCATTCACATGCTTACGTAGAGTCTTGTTTCAGGTCCAGTACTGAATAATACTAAATCAGAAGCAGATGTTCGTCCACGAAACGCATGTGAAATTTGAACACAATGACCAAAGCAAAACAAACGCTGTTTCCCGAACAGAACGGCCTGTTTGTTTTGTACGACTCTCTCACGGAGCATCTGAAATCACATAATGCGTCAAAGCTCTGCTGAAAAGATGTGTTCGATCAAGTCCGGATGTTCTTCAGTGGTGTGTTTTTGCTGCTGTTGATCGATTGAAATGCTGTTTTTTTATTTATGATATTTGAAAACACTGACGTTCCTTTCCTACTGTATCATATTTTATACTGGATATTTGCAGCTCCTCAGTACCACACCAGAAAAATACACGCAGCACTTAGAAAATCGTGAATTCTTCTGCATTTGTGTTCCACAAGTCTTTGCCTTCATGTCTCATTGAGGTTGTTAGAAAAGAACACTTGCACATACTGAGGATCGGATCTTAAAACATATGTAAATATATATATAGAAATATTACACATTTACTGAAAGGGATATATCTTAGGTCCTTGACACTAGCGTGCTGATGATATTTAATAGAGTGTACAGTTATATTAACCAAACACATAGAGCCAGAGGTGGTCTGGCAAGCTTGCCCATGTTCTAGAAACTTCTCTCAGGGTAGACTTGCTTCTCTAAGCTTTACAAAACATGTCAGGTCACACCACTGGTCAGCGTTTACTGTTCCTGACCGCCGTTTGCTTTTGTTTCAGTGTTCTCGACGAAGTGTAAATCTGATGGATCATGTGATTTGTATATCTGATCAATTGGAAGTAAGAATCTCATGTACTATAAGCAACCAAATTCTGAACAAAAGTTCAAGAAAAGCTGAATGCATCTCATCTGAACGCCGTCAGAAACCATTACTGCTGATTCAAGTGAAACAATAACGACTACTTGTTTTTTTATCTCCCATGTTACAGTTCATGTAATAAAAATCTCTGATGACAACAGATTTTTTGGCCATTCTAAACTGCTTTCATTTACTCTGTTTTGTTTTTAACATTTGAATTTTGCATGCCTTTTTATTTGCAAGGACTGTGAATGTTTGAGTGTTTATTGTAATTTTTTTGTTCAAGAAATCAGCACTTACACAAAGTTTTACTTCCTGCAGGTTATAATGGAGGATACTGTGTACTTTCCACAAATATGGTACACTTTGACTTTTCGAAATTATTACATTGGTGACGAATTATCTCATAGAAAATTAACCTATTAGATCATTAAAACATTTCATACCCTTAAAATGTCCCACCTCAAACTCATGCAAAAATATCAATTTTGACACTTGTAAATCTACTATTGAAATCTGTTGGAATAAAATTCAATCAAAGTCATTTTAATGACTTTAATTGAAAAAAATGATAAAGTTAGCTGTTTCCCATCCCTGTTACCAAATAATAATTAAAAAAAAAATTGTATTCATATGTCTCAGACAGTGTTATTTTAGGATCATTGAAATACTGCTATAGTTTTATTAATATTTTAGAATATTTTTTTATATATGTTTTCTGTTTTCAATTTAATTTAAAGTTTTATACACTCTTAAAAATAAAGGTGCTTCACGATGCCATAGAAGAACCTTTTTGTCTAAATGGTTCCATAAAGAACCTTTAACATCTGAAGAACCTTTCTGTTTCACAAAAGGTTCTTTGGGGCGAAAGAAGGTTCTTCAGATTATAAAAAGGTAAGAAAGAGACGGTTCTTTAAAGAACCTTTGACAGAATGGTTCTTTGTGGAACCAAAAATGGTTCTTCTATGGCATCGCTTGAAGAACCTTTTGAAGCACCTTTATTTTTAAGAGTGTACATTATTTGTGCATTTTAGTTTTTTATTTATTTGTCTATATAGTTTTTATTTTAGTAGGTAAACTAAATTAAAATGAGAAATGTTGCCTTTGCAACTAGTTTATTTTATTTAATTTTTTCAGTTAATGTTTATTTTATATCAAGTATTGAAAATGTTTTTTTTTATGCTTTTAGTTTTAGTTTAACTATAGTAACCCTGGTCCCTGAACACCTCGTGTAAAATAAACAACATAAAACAGCTCATTTAAAATGTAGTTTGACCTCCTGAGGATGAGGATCATCATTTTATGAAGGCGAAGGCCCTCCTTTCACAAACACTGCTGAAAAGGGGGGGGATTTTGTTAAGTGTTTCAGCTGCTTTGTACCTTATTTGTGGAAAGTGCCATTCCAGTCTAATTAGAGGTCATAAGTGACTCGGCCTAAACAAGATTACTTTAATATCTCTGGTGCTTGAGTGTGTTTGTATTAGAATTATCCCAGAGCCTTCGGAAACACTGGCTTTTTGTTTATTCAAATATTAGTAATTAAACAGCCTCAATTCAAGAATTAAAAAACTGTCAGACTTGAAAACTTAATTGTTGGTTCTAATTTTGTGTGTGTGTGTGAATGAGGCTCTGAATACTAACACAAGGGGGAGGCAAAACTCTGGTTGTTCCTCTTATGTGCTGAAAGGTAATAGGCATTTTTTTCCTCCATCCAATTTCCTGTAGCGTTCTGGTGTGTTTCCTATGAGCTTATGGCAGAGCACTTAAAGCTTTGGTTGTTAAAGAGAGGACAAGTAAATGTCAAATGTCATGTGTCTTTTAATCACATACATATGTACCGAGTCATTATTGAATACAGTACATCATTGTATAAACCTATCTTGTCTGTGTTTTTTATTATAGCCTACCTTGTACTTGATTTTATTAAGCAAGATTCAAGTAGTTTTATTAGTAAAAAAGCTTTACATTGGGAGCATTAAATTACAGGCACATTTACAAACAATCAAAAGTCCAGTTATTGATTCTTGCCATTTCATGATTAATAAATAATAAATTGTCCATGAAATTGCCAACAGATTTACAGATTTTTATTCACTGGGTAAAAAATAAATAAATAAAGGTATTTCGATGACTTAAACTACAATTTTGACTTCTTGCTGACAAATCTGACTGTTTTTCTCTCAGACTCGAGTAGTCAGAAATGAGAGCAATGAACTCGCAATTGCAAGAAAAAGGTCAGAATTGTGAGATAAAAAGTCACAACTTTAAAAAATATTAAAAATAATATTATATATAACATATAATACATAATGTTATAAAAAAAGAAGAAGAATTCTCTTAATTCTGAGAAAAAGGGCATAAATGCCAGATATAAAATCTGAATTCTGACTATAATGTCATAATTGTGAGATACAAACGCAGAATGGCAAAAATGAAAGACTTTTTTTGATTTTTGATAAAAAGTTCAATATATATATATATATATATACAACTTTTTTATATCTAAAAAAAAAGATAAATATAAATAAATACATATTTTTTATTTTATTATTGTTTTAAATCCCGTGACGGAAACAAGCCATACTAAATAAACCTGAACGTGGAGTAAAAAAAAAGGTGACAGCCGTCTCCCCTTTCAAATTCCAATCAACTTTAAATAGTTTCCTTTAATTCACTTTCAGTTTCAGTCAATTTGATACTGTTTACATTGTTTTTATGTCAAAATCCCATCTCCACTATCTGTAAATATTTATTTATTCATTACTTACGCATTCACTGGCGCCAACAACCGGTTACGAGATCCACTTCAAAGCTGGTTCATGTTTACAGATCCACCCCTCGTCCCAGAAAATGAAACTGCAGATAAAGAAGCAAAAAACAACGACATTCACTTAATTGTTAATCTACGTAAGAAGGAAATCAAGAGGAGTATTAAGAAAAGACTGAAGGAAAGGTGGCAAAAACAATGGGATAAGGAGAAAAAAGGTCAGTCAGTTCCTTAAAATAACTCTTTTTAAGGAGTAAAAATAACAAAATAACTTTGTGGGAGAGAATTAAAAAAAATTTAAAAAGGGGGAAGGAAGTAAGTCACTTCTTTGATACACACTCCATACCAGTTAGTGGCGGAAATACACCATTTTGTTGTTTGTCAAACACCAATACAATTTCAAGAAGAAGAAGAAGATCCACCCCTCCCCCACACGTTCGAACGTGTTGACGCAATCTGCGTCGTGACGTCCCGACGTCGTGGTAGCTGCGATGACGACGGGATTCCACAGTGGGACGGGCCGATTCTGCAAATGGCTACGAGGTGCGATTTGTCGATTTGTTCGTCGTTAATCTTCTCTCCTGCGGCTCGGAAGGAGGCGTACACCCGCTCTGCTTCGCAGGCTGCCCTCAGGTGAGTGAGCTAAGTGCTTTTCGAGCTGGATGCGTTTGTATTTCGGCCCTTTTGAGGCCTTATCTGAGGGGTCCGCCCTCCGCTCGCAACAACAACAACAACAACAGACGCCGAAACGGGCCTCGGCTGAGGAGAAATGTCTAAAATGCTTCATATGAGCGGTAAAATACCAGCGCGGTTTAGAGCCTGGTGCTATTCAGATGGTTTGAAATAAGCTTGGCCCATGGCAGAGCAAGAAACGCGGCCTTGATACTCAGTTTTTGTCGGTTAGTCAGTCGTTATTACAACCGCCGCGCGTCTGACTGACAGATCGAGCGCGAGCCCCTTACAGCAGTTTGCCATGGTAACCAGGTTTACCCTGTTGCTACAACAATAAAACTGACATTTCGCGGTATTCACCACGGTTGTTATAAATAACACTCACTGTAGTATTTGGATCTAAACTATGGTCGCCATGGTAAAAGTAATGCTTACAACATCTCAATGCATAATTTTGGATTTATTTTTATGACAGGGGTGTATAATATCAAGTTGGGCGTACTTTTGTAGCATTAGCTGCCATGTTACCAGCATAACAACAGTTACCATAGTTATTGTTACTACAGTATATGTTCTGGATGCTTCTTTGCGTTCCTGTAATTATTATGACTTAACAGTTGGAACAATAACTGAAATAACTACAATATTTTGGTGAAGACTGTGATTATCATGGCAGTAAAGCTCAGTGTTTAAGTGTAATACATTAATAATACTTATTTAATAAATCATGTCTCATTCAAACAATGCCAGATGCATTTAGAATATTTTTAGACAGTTTTACTGTAGTAACAACAGTAACTCAGAATAGTTATTACCATGGTGACTGTTCCTAAATAATGATGGGATTCTCTTCATGCATTGTAAAATAAGAGGCTTTCAGAACGAGTGCTACTTTTTCAGCAGCTTTGGTTCCGGTTGTATTTTTCCCATTCATTTTTGCCATAGGGATCTTTAAAAAGTATTCCTTTAAGAGTTATAAGCCATGAGCCAGACCAACCAGCTACGAGGAGAGTCGCAATATTACAAACTTTGATTTGAAGCAAAAGAGCGTTTGAAAATCTGACAAAAATATTTAAAGGGATAGTTCACCCCAAAACATAAATATTCTGTTAAAACAAATGGTGGATTTTGACTTCTATAGTAGGGCTGCACGATAAATCGAAATGGAATGGAGATCGTGATTCGACAGAAGCTGTGATTGTCTTGTGTATCTTTCAGTGAAGCATGGTTCTGTGATCAGCAGTAAATCTCCATCCAAAGACCAGAGGGCGCTCTCGCGCTGAAACTACAAATACGCCTCGCAGAAGAAACCCAGAACATGCCTATTGCTGCAGCTGAATAAACAGAAGATTCAACTGCTTTCATTGATTCAGCGTGACTAATAAACACACGACTATGGCAATATACGGTTTATCTGAGTGCTTATTATTATAATTTTCATTAAAATAAAGTATGTTTATAATGCAATGCCTTTATCACTGCTTAAATACTATGAAATATGTTGCGTGCCTTATTCTGTGTAAGAAGCCACGTCATCTTACAGAAGCATTTATTTCAAACACTCGACTGACGTTATGAAGTGAGTTTGGAGTAAAAATATGTTATTAAATCTGGTATTTTCAATGCTTTCAGATGGAGAAGCATTTACTTCACAGAGCCGTAGTTCACTGAGAAGCTATGCAAACAGCTGTCATTATCGCCAACGATTTCTTAGATTTCAGAATCACGCAATACATTTTTTTTGCGTAACTTGTCAGAGAACTACGACTATGTGTAGTAAATGCTGCTCCATCTGAAAGCATGTGATGATGATTTCCTGCTGATTACAGAACCGGCTTTTTTAACAAAATGCGCATGACAATCGCATTCGATTAATCGTGCAGCCCTATTCCATAGTATGGAAAAAATACTGTGGAAGTCAATGGCTACCGTCAACTGTTTGGTTACCTGCATTCTTCAAAATATCTTCTTTTGTGTTCAACAGAAGAGAGAAACTCATACAAGTTTGCAAATAATGACAGAATTTACATTTTTGGATGAACTGTCCCTTTAACAGCTTGAGGGAAAGCACTATAACCCCATGAAGCGCTGCGAATGGCATTAAAAACAATAGAGAAATATAAAACTATTGAATGCACAGTGCTTCATGGGAGTGGACGGGCACTAGTCCAAGTGTTTGGCGTGATTTACTTGTCGTGATTCTCTGATTGGTTGATATTTTTCTGCGGAATCATGGGTAATGTCAGTTTTTTCACTAGGAATTCCGCTGTTGAACATGATTATTAAAAAAATATGTTGAAGTAAAGCAAACTGATGGCTTCAACAAAAACATATGCCATTGATTAACAACCTCATAACACAGAATGTCTTTCTTTCAAGACCAATTCCCCAATAGAGAAAATCAATTGTATTTTTACTTCAGGAGCCCAACTCTCGCACTCCATACCGAGTTACCATAGTTTCACTGCTGTAACTAAGGTATTTTTGAGGGAATGTGTGGTTGCCTTGGTTTCGCTGAAGAGAGGCGTGTGTTGGATTTGTTGTGTTTCTGTCAGATCCGCGTGGTGCTGCTAGACGATCCTTTGGCTCTTCGGCTGTGTTTTGGTGTTGGGTTTCTCATGTGGTTTGAATCTGACTCATGGTGTGACTTTGGAATGAAATGCATCTGGTTAAAAGTCAACTCAACCTGCTGAATGAGCGCAAATGCCTGGCATCTAAACGCAGCAGTAGATAAAGCCTCAATGATTGTGTGTTTACACGTCACTGACTGCGTGTCGTGGGCCGATCAATACTAGTAACCTTAGTGACAGGAGGGCGGGTGGTTGAGTTTATGAATGAACTCATAATGATAAACATCTGTTCTTGCTGTTTGTTTAAAGCACAGCAAACCCACAAAGTATTTGGACAATTACGCCATATTTCAAAATGCCTTCCATTAGATCAAGTCCCCTGTGCTCAAACCCTGCAGAAGCTTTCTCTCAGCTTCAGTTTTCTTCATCATTTTTGTCTTTGAATCAGCTGGTGTTGTGATGATTTTTAGTGGATTAATGAAATCTCAATTTAACGCAGGTGTCTTAGCAAAATATGGACATGTTCTACTAGCATTTTCACAATGTAAAATCATTATGTATTCATTCAGACATTTCAAGTGTCCAAATATTTTTTGTAACTAGTGTTGTCGATGCGATACCAGAAAAAATTTATATTTTGAAGTATTTCAGAGAGTATTCCAGAGAGCCATGTAATAATAATAATATAAAATTTTATATTTTCAGCCAAATTTTATGATAAGGAGCCACATCAGATCACAAAATGTAGTTATTTCAAACACTCAATTGAAATTATGAAGTGACTTTAGAGTAAAAGGTTATTAAATGTGTATTTTGTTAACATGTTGATAAATGCTTCTCATTACACTGCTGTGTGCGTGAACTTGCTGTCAGTGAGAAGAGAGAGCGAGAAAGAGCAGCTAGTTTTGCTGTATCAAAACTGTAAGAAAAAAATATTGAAAATATTTGAGATTTCAGTATCAATATGTATCGAGAAAATAATTTAAACTTTTGTTTTTTTCCCATCACCTCTGAATCTCCAGAACCACAACAAATGAAATAATTTAATGAAAGTTAATATTGAGTTTTGAATTTGAAATGTGATGTGAGATAAAAAGCCTGTGTATCACAAAACAATGGCACTTAAATCACATAATTTTTCTAGTTTCTGTTATTTTCTAGTTTTTCTAGTTTCTATTACAGGTGCGTCTCAAATTAGAATGTCGTGGAAAAGTTCATTTATTTCAGTAATTCGTGAAACTCGTGTATTAAATAAATTCAATGCACACAGACTGAAGTAGTTTAAGTCTTTGGTTCTTTTAATTGTGATGATTTTGGCTCACATTTAACAGGAACCCACCATTTCACTATCTCAACAAATTAGAATAAGGATGCATGCAAAAAATCATAATATGACTATTCCAGCTTAATGATTAAATGTGTCCATCCATTATAACACATTTTTAGAAAGTGGCATGATTTGAATTGTTGCAAGTAAAAATACATTTGAAAAAAGTAAAGCATAAGCTTGCATCATCATGAATGTGCCCTATGACATTAAAATTGGACAGTAAGGTGCGTATTTTGCATTAATGGTGCGTAAGGTGGTTGTTTTAGTAAAATGAAACGGAATCAGTTCCAGTGGTGGTTTAGGAATGAGAACACATAATGCTGATTGACCTTCAGGACAGTAAAAGTGACATCTGAGATGAACAGAAAAAACACTGAATGATTCTTCTGTCCACCTGCAGTCAGTTGACCTCAATGGAAGGGGAGAATTCTCTAGAAAGCCGGTGTTTCTGAATACCCAATACAGATATGAGGCCTGTCATGTGAAATAAGGAGAACCTTCTACCTGAAACAATGCTTTTGGATCTGGGCCAGTATGGAAATGGTCTGGCGCTGCATAAAACTACTTTTGCATGTTGAACAGTTTTCATGTACCACATTGCACTGTCATTTGTTCAGGTCATGAGACTGCAGTACAGTTGCAAGACACTAAAATGCCCAATCAGATTGAAGACAGACTCCTCAGCTGTAGTAAACATGAGTGTTTTCTTGTTAGAGATATGTTTTATCAGTAGTTTCCAGATGGCGCCAGTGTGGCCTTCTCTGGAAGCATGTGTTTGAACGTTTTTGCATAGGGACGCTGTTGCCCTCTGGCCATGAACCAACCAAACTCACTCATATATGACTCTCAGGAGACACACGGGGCCACTGAATTCCTCCCATCCATGACATGGTGTAATTCTGCTCTGTTTAGTCTTTGACAACTTGGGTTTTGTTATCTTCTGTGGAATTGTGTCATCTCATTCTTTATGCATCTTTAGTTAGCAGAGCTTCACAGATAGCTTTCATTGGAAGAAAAATAAAAACCGGTTGGTTTTGAGGGTTGGTACAGTTCCAAAGAAGAGAAACTAATGATACGGTGTTTCTCATTTGAATTGTAGGTGTGTAAATTGCACTTATTACAGAATGTTGCTTGTTTTCTTCCAAGCTAACTTTAATGTTACAGTTTATCGAATTAAAAAGTTTTGTGACATTTAGTTCATATCTGTAGTTTTGAGATCATCCATATGCTAGTGCTCTAATCACCAGTTAACTAATGAGTATGATGACAAATGAGATGAATGGCTGTGTACATTGTGGCCACTTTTCATAAAACCCGATCCAACCATATGCGTCAGTGATTTGAATTCACCACCCAAGCATTCATGAACGGCTATGCCCGCCTTTGCCCACAGATTGCCATCAGCACCATGACGGCTATATTTACCAAAGTGTGAAAAGCAGTATTGTCAGATGTTATGCAATGTTTGGAATGGAGAGTTATGGCTTGAAAACTGTGGTCTAATTTTTTTTCTCATCTCTCTCCACAGGTTTCAATGTCATAACACTGAGTGACGCCAGCAGTGTGGGAACATCCAAAACAAACCTCACCTCATTGCTGTTAGGAGTTTGGTAAGATCTAAGTACATGTGTGTGAATTAGGACTGGGTGAATATTTTTTGCATTTTTCCTATGTTTAATATGTATCTTGATATTTATGTATTTATACTGGAATTACTTTTTTCCCCTATTTTGAGAACCCATCATTTCAACCATTATTGCTTGGAAAATTCAACATTTGTTAGGCAAGGAGTAAAATAAAGTCTAAAAATCAAGTGGAAATAATTCTAGCATCTTTTCCAAGCTGTTTTTCTGTAAATAACCACAAGAAAGAATAATAATTAACCTAATCCCATTCTTTAATATGCACCACCATAAGTTGTAAATAAATATATCTATATATATATATTAAAAAATTACCTATGTGAAAAAATTTACCCACATTAATACATAAAAAAGGTCATATGGAGACTTTGAGCATTTCATGAAGTTTTAAACTGATTAAGAAACTAATTATAAGAAAAGTAAATTCAAATCATTGTGATATTATTCACAGTATTTTAAATCACCTGCGAACATATTGTGAATATTTCCTGCATTATCCAAACCTAATTCAAATGAAATGGAAAATTTTGACAATTGCTAGTTGTTTCTTCTTTAAATGTTTTTTTTTTCTTCATACAGACTGACGACTGCAAGAGAGAGCGAACGAGTGGTAGAAGGCACGACAGTGTTGCACCCGCACTCCTTCACCGGGGCTATGGTAAACAAACACCTCCCAAATCTCTGGCTGAATCCGAAATCGCCCCCTATACCCTGATTCACTATTCCTTACATTAGGCCACTAATACAGTTCACTTGAAGGAGTCAATGAAAACGAGTGAGCGAATTTGGACACTGAGTGCAGAAGGACTGCCACTTTTGCATAGTCTGTGTTTGCTGTTTAATGATCATTTGAAACTGGCAAATTGGCAGCTCCAGTAGTATGATGAAAGGATTTATCTTGACTCTGTCATGGAAATTATGTATAAAACCTAATTAAACAATTTAATTATCAATTTACTATGAATTTTTACCTGTATTGTATTACGCTGAAAAACCAATTTTGCTGTATGCCGTGGATGAGCGCTTTGTAAAATGAATGGATGGATGATTCATCTGCGGGCAAGGCGCATTGGCGCGTGACTCTCACACTGCATTATGGGTTATTCTCTAGCCATTGAGCATACATCAGTTGTACACTCGTTTTTGTTGTGCATTGTGGGATTGAATGAGTGAACTCGATAATGTCCGTTAAGGGTGCTTTCACACTAGCACTTCAAATCCATACATTTGGATGATGTGAACGCTGTCTTCCGAACTTGGGTGCACACCTGCGAACCGTATTCGCATCCACTTAAAAGGGGTGGTCTGGGGTACAGTTCAAGCGAACTCCTGTACGTTTTTCTGCTGATATGAATGCAATTGTGCCACATCGCAGAAGTGAGACACTATTAATGACATATTATTTGGAAAAAAATTTGTGTTTGTGTGTGTTTCACTCACTTTCCTGACGTGCTGCAAGCAGAGAGCTGTATATCTCATTTCTGTTCGCCTTCAGTTTTCTTCCGAGCATTTGCAGTACATTCATAAGACAGACGTAGTGCCGTTATGTACTGAAGCTTTGGAAACAAATCCAACGGTTCAAAAACAGTAATATAAAAGTGAAGAGAGCAATGCTACGCATTTTGCCGCCTTCTCTTGCATCGTCGTTACTAAGAAACGGGGTAAACAGCTGCTGGCTTGATGACGCAAACGAACCGCAGTTCAGACACAAATAAAATAATATGAACGCAGTCCAGCGGGGGAAGGGGGAGCAATGGAGCTCTGGTTCAGACAAGGCAATCCAACCAAGCCTAAGATTTCGGACACCACTAATAATGGCTGTCCCCAAATAGTGCCATATTTAAGGGTATAGGGGGCAATTTCGGACACAGGGTCTCTCTTTCCTGCACGTGACTCCCAGGCATCGGTTCAAATGCTGAATCGGAAACTGCTCATTGATTTCTCAGGCTTTTAATCAGCTGAAATGAATGGTGCTCAGACAGTGTCAAAGTCCCGTCCTGACTGCTGTCTCAGCGCAGATCAATGCCCTCTTTAGACAGACAGACGGGATGAATGGATACATATGTGCTAGTGTCATCAGTGAGCGCTGCATTATAAAACAGCTCCGGCTCCAAATTCTGATGGGATGAAACACGTTCACAACTGTGAGATGCATCAAGACAGATGCGTCTAGATGCACCATCTGTGACCAGCAATTGATTTTTATATTACTACACTTTCTATTAGTTCCTTGGCAACTAGGAAACTGCCTTACAGTCTGTAATATGAATGAATGAATTATTAATGCATTTAATTATTTATTGTATCATTTTTATTGTCCTGAATTACAGTGTCATGGTTAAGGGATTTTAGCCATTCTGCTTAAAGTCATAACTAACAACACCCCTTACTCGAGGTAAAAACACTAACTAAAAAACTAAGCTTTATTACGAACCTTTCATTTTAAGGGGCTCTAACAGAAACAGCATTTACTGTGGTATTTGTGTTTGAGTCTATGTCTGCGTTTAGTGAATTGTACCTCATTTTCTTGTTTGCTGAAGTGTCTGCGGACAGTTTAACGAATGCCTCCGGTCTATGCGCGAATGCTGATGGATGTGTTTGTTTACACATTCCTAATGAGTTATGCTCATTATTGTTTGTTTGCTATTCTGCCTGTCTGTGCCCTGTAATTCTCTGTCTGGTTCTGTGCTTGTGCCCACAATGGGCTGCCACGGGACCGGCCCCTCTAGTGTGTTTACTGAGCCGTGCTGATGGCCATTGTCAGCGCTACACACAGACAGCCATGCTGCTGATCCAGCAAACACACACACACCCTTCTAGGATATGCAACCTGACAATTTGATATACCTTCACTAACTTCTTATATACAAGTCAAATTGTATTATCCTTTTTCTCTACAGACAGAACATTAGTTAGTTAATACACACTCAGATAGATAGAACATTAGTTAGTTGGTTGGTTATTTTAGACACAACTAGATAGACAGACCGATAGGCAGGCAGAAAGAGCGTTGGTTGGTTAGTTTATACACAGATAGATAGAATGTTTGTTGGTTGGTTGGGGAGTTTATACACAACTAGATAGATGGATAAATAGGTTAGATAGAGTTAGTTAGTTTATACACAAACACAACACCTCCTTGCATATCTCATCCAGTACACTCTTGTCTTTGACTGGGCAGCATTTTATGGCACAAACAGACCAATCAGTCCGTCTTGAGGACTCTGGTGTTTGAGCTAGACAACATGGCGACACAGCTGCCCTGTCTCACAGAGTCTCTCCTATTTGTGGAAACAGAATCCAAACATTCTCTGCCAATCTGAACTCTCAAGGCTACTGCGGGCCGTAGCCTCTCATTCCTGCATACAGAAGTGAATGGAATGACTTATGCCCTGCACACTGCTGCTCTGAGTCCTGATACAGATCGTGGTGAAGGCAGGGTACAACTCTTAATAGGATCTTGCCATGGAAAAGGAAATGGAAATAAGACAGTGTTGTGTATTAAGGATGCAGTTTTCATTTGTTTAGTACATAATTCCCATACGTTCATTTGTTTACTATTATTCTGATTTAGTAGATGTGTCAAAACCTTTCACTTGGGTTGCATGTGCATCATATGGCATATATAGCGTCTGTATTTACTATAATCCAGTGCCCTTAGAGTCTTCTGTAAAGCTGCCATACTGTATCGGTTACAGGAGTGCCTGTTATATCAGAAATAGCAGAAGTGATTTCAGAGCAGGACGTTCTGGCAGAGTGTCCCTGTGCCTTTACAAATGATTTGCTGCTCTGAAGCCCAGCCAAAAATGGTATTGGTTAAAGAAATGCTTCGACCACTCTGTCCCCAGTTTAGCTTAGGTAATCACTCATTTAATCAGAGGTTTAGTCATGGACAATGTTTTATCCGTATAACAGTTTGGCTTTTGGCCCCTGGGAGTGATAAAACTGGAAAAGGAATTTGTACATTTTTAACTTGTGATGTCAAATGTTTGGCCTTTGATAAAGAGCCTCTCACACTCTTCTATTATTGCAGCCGAACATAAATTATGTGATGTGGTGTGAATAATGAAAACGTGTTCGGGTCACATCATAAAAATGTTTTGATTCTTTTATTAAATTATTTTTATTTATATAAATTATATTTTGCATTAAGAAAATTACTATTTGAGCTCAATTAAGATTTTGTTTTTTTACATTTCATTGCATTTTATGTTCATGACGAAAGCACATTTCCCTGCCAAATTCTATATGTAGTTGTCTTTACAATTTTTAGTTACATTATTCTTGATTATAATTGTCAGTAGAGTATAATGTGGTGCATTTCTTATCCGTATTCTCTTTGATAGGAGGAGGAGGGGCAGCAGAGTCTGGAGTGCATCCAGGCCAATCAGATCTTCCCTCGCAAGCCCCCTGTCCTGGACGATGAGGATCTTCAGGTAAGCAGAGATCAAGACCTCTGCCAAGACAATGTTGTTCATTAGGATGTATTGGTACCGTTAATGCAAGTATTATTCGATTCTGACCAAGAGGGGAAAATTAGTCTGTTTTAAAATCTACTATACTGTTTACATAGGTATCATAAATATGCTGATGTGTAGTCTGTCACAAACTGTAGGCAACAAAATGATCTTGTTTTGGCCAAAATCTTAGGCTGCATCACTTACAATGCATTGCAACAAGCACAGTGAACATTTCCATTCAAGATGGTAAGTAAGTGTGTGACACACATGACTGACTATTAACAGAGTTGCTGCTTATAAAGAGCATTTCAAATCAGTTAAAGTAGAAAGTGAGGCAGCGTTAGCTTTTAAAACAGATCCTTTGTTTTCAGCACCTCTGACAGGAAGACACATCAAGGGTTTTTGTAAATGCCTCTTCTTCTTCTTCTTTTTTTTTGTATGCAACTCTAAATATCATCAAATACTTGTATTGGTCTAATAGTAAGTTGTTTGTTGGATCTGTTGTAGGTGCCCTACCCAGAGCTGCATGGCGAGTATACGAAGTATGTGGGCAGGGCTGAGGATGCCATCATCGCCATGTCCAGCTACCGCCTGCACATCAAGTTCAAGGAGTCGGTTGTTAATGTGAGTGTGTGATTTTCAACACAACTATGCTTTTTATTTTCAGAGCTACTCAAAATGTGTTTTTGAATTGATTTCAGTCTGTATTTAAGGATACGAGTCAGGGAAGTATTTACTGAACTGTTGTTGCCAAAGTTTGTACAATTGTATATGCTCATTGTCCTTCGCAAAATATACTAAAACCTACTTGGAGGAGATAATAAAACAAGCAGCAATGAACAGTTTACATGTCTCAGCAGTTGAAGTGGAATAAAGAGATCTCCTGTACTGAAACCAAATTACCAAAACTAAAATGAGCAGTGTTTGCATTTCAGGGCTTTTTTCCAGTTGGTTTTCTTTTAATTTATTTTATTTACAAAAGTCCTTCTTACTTCCACACTTAAATATGGCCCATGTATGATGGTAGTTGCATTTTTCACATGCAACTCAGCTCTTTTTTGTTAAGAAGCCTGTTTTCACCACAGAATAACAAAAAAAAAAAAGGTAATCTCAACTTTTTATCTTACAGTTCTGACTTATTTTCTCACAATTCATCTCATGATTCCGATTTTTTTGTTGTTGTGAGATATAAACTCAGAATTGTGAAATGTTAACTTGCAGTTGCCTTTTTAATTTTTTATTCATTAGCGGAAACAAAAAAACTGAGTCATGAGAAAAGTCAGAATTGCAAGACGTAAATTCAGAATTTCGAGAAAAAAGTCAGAATTGCTAGGTGTAAAAAATGTACTTATATATATACATATATATACATATATACAGTGGGTACAGAAAGTATTCAGACCCCCTTAAATTTTTCACTCTTTGTTATATTGCAGCCATTTGCTAAAATCATTGAAGTTAATTTTTTTTCCTCATTAATGTACACACAGCACCCCATATTGACAGAAAAACACAGAATTGTTGACATTTTTGCAGATTTATTAAAAAAGAAAAACTGAAATATCACATGGTCCTAAGTATTCAGACCCTTTGCTCAGTATTTAGTAGAAGCACCCTTTTGATCTAATACAGCCATGAGTCTTTTTGGGAAAGATGCAACAAGTTTTTCACACCTGGACTTGGGGATCCTCTGCCATTCCTCCTTGCAGAGCCTCTCCAGTTCTGGCAGGTTGGATGGTAAACGTTGATGGACAGCCATTTTTAGGTCTCTCCAGAAATGCACAATTGGGTTTAAGTTAGGGCTCTGGCTGGGCCATTCAAGAACAGTCACAGAGTTGTTGTGAAGCCACTCCTTCGTTATTTTAGCTGTGTGCTTAGGGTCATTGTCTTGTTGGAAGGTAAACCTTCGGCCCAGTCTGAGGTCCTGAGCACTCTGGAGAAAGTTTTCGTCCAGGATAACCCTGTACTTGGCCGCATTCATCTTTCCCTCAATTGCAACCAGTCGTCCTGTCCCTGCAGCTGAAAAACACCCCCACAGCATGATGCTGCCACCACCATGCTTCACTGTTGGGACTGTATTGGACAGGTGATGAGCAGTGCCTGGTTTTCTCCACACATACCGCTTAGAATTTTTATCCCGCGGAAAAAAGCTACTATAGTTTTGTATAAGACCGTTTGAACGGCAAATATCACACTGAATTTGCTCAATTCTAATCAGGGCCGATTTAGTTTGTGCAAATAAAATGGATGCATATTTTTTGTAAAGTGACTTTTATTTATTTAAAAAAAAATTTTTTAACTTCAGCTCAGAAATTCTTGAGTGAAACTGGATTGTGGTCTGTTGTGCCATGGTGAATGTATGATGGATAGCCATGATGGTGGTCGCAGAAAAAAGACTCTTTTATATGGTGCATGACATGCTGCTAAATTTAGAGCCCACCAATGATGTGAAGGGTATTTAGGGACAGCAGGCCACAGTTACATCAGGCGCTCTGACACTGGCCAGTGGCTGCCGTAACCCTGTGTGTGTGTATTGAACAGGTCTGTCTTTATTAGCTCTTCACTTTCACTGTTTCTTCCCAAGCCTGTTGCCATGGTTGCAGTGGCTTTTTGATTGGGATTGTCCACCCCCGTGCTATCAACATGGCACTATAATAAAATTTCTGGTTACATACTAATAATCTGCTCTATTATACCCCTCATAGACCAGCAGTCACGATCTAGAAACCATTCAAGTGGAGCACACAGAGCTGCATGTTCCTGAACTGCTGGAATGAGAGCAAGAGGAGTGAAGGAATATTGTGGGCTAAATGCAGAATATTAGCTGGCATACTGTCAAAAGTTTGTCAACAACCCATGTAAATTGTGCTTACAGTAATGCACTTACAATGGAAGTCGATCCCTCAAAAGCATGCTGCAATTCATTATTACAAGGAACAAAATTAATATATATTATACATGGTTTTGTAAGCTCACCATACATTATTACATAAATGCACACATCCTGTGAGAGCACTAATTTAATGCACAAGTAGATGCACAGCTGTTTGCATTTGCACTTTGCATTGAAAATATATACAGTAAGAACACGCTGGTGCACCTTTAATGACTTTTGTAGTTCATTTTGCGGTGTTTATTTAAGCTGTTTGATCGGTTACACCAAGAAGCTGTAAATATCGGTAACACTTACGGTGTAGATGAATCGTGTCAGAGACTCAAGGTCTATAGAAGAGAATTTATACCTCTCAGAGACTTTATAAAGCAAAAACAGCCCAAAGCTCAAAATTAACTAGTTTTCTCCTACAGTTAAAAATAACGTATGCATCCACTATGCACTATGACGTGCAACACAAACACCTCTGTTAAAATCCCAGAAAAGGAAGTTTAGCATTTAATGGCCCTTTTAAGTGCTTATATGAATGATTAAGTGTGTAATTTATGTGCCACTAATATAATTGCAATCATTTTTCCCAAACACTCCACCCTGAACAGAAACTGTTTTGCATTAGAGTCCTGATCTCTGTTGGGGTTTATTTTGCAATAATGACTGGCTGGCTGTACATTATCACTTAATTGTTTTCCATTCTGGACGCTTTTTTGCTCAGCTTTTATTGTAAGTGCATTATAAACTGATAGACAAAATAATTATCAAAATGACAGGTACTGTTAAGCTTTAGTTGTTTAGCCCAAAATATTCTGTTCATGTACATGTGATCAGGCAGCTGGGTTTGTTTGTGGCTGGTGGGTGATCAGCTCAGTGCTAATTCATCAGTTGATATCTGTGACAGTCACTTATTCACCAGAGTAAATGAGTGTGACGCTCTCTGTGTGCCTGTGAAAGAGAGAGTGTGTTGTGCGTGAGAAAGAAGAGAGAGTGATGTGACTATAGGCCAGCTAGTGAGGCAACAAAGCTGTCGTAAGAGCAAGTGCACAAGTGTAGGGCTGGAAATGGAGAAAAAAAGAGGAAGGAGGTTGAGAGAATATTAATTGTGTCATTTTTGAGTTGCACAAATTGACAGAGCATAACAGAATGCAGAAGTCTTGACACGTTTTTAAAAAAATTGGTTTTGGCACGCTGTACAGGTTATGGATGTGTAATAACTGGAATATTGCTTAGAGCAGTTATTTTGAAGTCTGATAGTAATTGCCTTAAACCATTTTGTTAAATACAGTGAAACTACAGGGATGTGATTTTTCCCTTTTTTTTTAAATACAGATTTCCTTATTTTCTGACCTAAGAAATAAAATTAATGAAATTGCAAAATTGGGAATTAGTAAACAATTACTAAGCATTTTCAAATACATTTCTTTCATGCATGGAACAACGGTATTTTCAGCAGCTCGGAACGCTTGTTTCAAAGTAAAACATGCATTTGAAAACACTACACATGCAACCATCTTCCCAAATTTGTTTTGAGAATCATTTATAAATCTGTTGTCAACAAAAGTGAAATTTTATGTCTCCTGCGGTTTTCCACCAAAATAAAAGCTCTGTGGTTTAATGATTGAAAGCAAAAAAAATTAAGACAGCCATAAACATTATTATTGTATTTTACTATACAATAATATATTTCTATGCAATAGTAATATATTTTTTGTAATTTAATAAAAATTTTTATATAAACTATATATATATAGTTAATTAATTGTATAAATATAGTTATCTTTACGTTATTATCTTAATATTATTATTATTATTGGAGTAATATTGAGGTTGCATAAAATAATTAATAAATTAATAATTTTTTTATTTTAGTCATTTTGAATAATGTCCTGAGACAACTGAAACCGAGAAAGATGTAAAAAAAAAGAAAGAAAAAAAGACAATATTTGACAAGTCATATTGCTGAATTTTTTCCAAAGAGTTGTAGTGATGGTGCTCTAAAGGGGTTACATTTAGAGATGCTAGTTTTTGGAGAGAAAAATATTAAAGCTTCTATCTCTAATATGTATCTCACAAATATGTTTGTGTTCTCTGACCCTTCAGCAAGCGCCCCAGGAATGTTTGAGTGTGGTCAGATTAGTGTGGTAGAATTAAACCGCAGCCCAGGAATGTGTGTATCACAGACGAGCCAAAAGCCGCAGTGTTCATGTCCACCTCGTGATTCTGTCTTCCCTCTCTTTCTCTGTGAACAGAATTGTTCGTGTGAGGTGTCAGTAAGTAACCACAGAACGGTCTGTCTGTCTCTGCATGATGTTGCGAGCTGCAGGTTTGTGAGAGCTGTGGTCAGATGTGACTTGCATGCGGTCAATGTGTGATCACGCGCAAGTTCCGGAGCTTGAAGGGGAACTGCGTTTTCAACCGCACAGTTGCAGAGGCGTCCACACACATAAACACACACGATTGAAGCTGATCGGCATGCCAGACTGTTCAACACTTGAGCTGCAGAACAATGAATGAGTTTGTCTGCAGACGCTAATCACTAACCGTGTCTGTAAACTCTGAACCCATGTCTAAACTTTCAGTGTGATTGATTCAGCAGGTTGATTTAATCATTAGCATCAGTTGGGTTCATGTTGACTTCCGTTTAGATGCTCTCTTTGGTGTGCTGACACTCACAGTGCCAATAATGAAAAATAATTTCTGTATGACTAATCTGTCTCACTCTCTCTGTCAGGTTCCCCTGCAGCTGATAGAAAGTGTAGAATGTCGGGACATGTTCCAAATGCACATCACCTGCAAAGACTGCAAGGTCATCAGGTGAGACTATCTATATCAACCCTCTATGCACACCTTGGCAATAGAATCACCATTGGCTAGTAAATGTTCTATCATTAATTTTGTATCTATCTGTCTGTCTATCTATCTATCGTTCTATTTATTGTTCTATTTATCGTTCCATCTATCGAAAAGATAGATCTAAATCTATCGAAAAATTTATTATTTTTTTAAGCAGACTGGCTACTATTATGACTTTAGTTGAAAATGTAATCAAATTTGTATAGCCATTTAGTACAGAAATCCATGTCGACCCAAGTCTGTATTTGATGTTCTCTTTCATTGTCTCAGTGTGTCTCTGATGCAGTAGATCTAATGTGTGTTTTGACAGGTGTCAGTTTTCCACATTTGAGCAGTGTCAGGAGTGGCTGAAGAGGCTGAGCGCTGCGGTCCGTCCCCCGTCCCAGATAGAGGAGCTCTTTTCCTTCCCCTTCCACGCATGGTGCATGGAGAAGGAGAAGGAGCAGCACGGGGATCTGTGTAGGCCAGGTACTGTCTGACTTTCTCAAACTTAATCTGTGTTCTTAAGGCTGATATTAGATGTCACAAATAGTTTTATTTCAGTATTTCCTGCTAGTCTTGCATAGCCAGACAGCTTTATACGAAGGAAAAATAATAGCAAAACTCAAGAACTTGTTGATTTGAATGTGAGAACTTGTCATATTAATATTCGTATTTGTACATTGAAATTTACACTCACAGCTCTGATGGGAAAAGCTGAATCTTTCATTTGCACACAGACAATAATCAAAACACCCGTGTTTTGAATTTGAAGTTGCAGATTAATAGTCACATAAACTAAATGAGACACAAATGTGTACGACATAATTACTTTTGCACTTTACTTCAGTTTCGCTGTACAACCACAAGCCAGCACTTACAGCATTGGTCTCAAACTCAATTCCTGGAGGGCCACAGCTCTGCACAGTTTAGCTCCAACCCTAATCAAGCACACCTGATCCAGCTAATCAATGTCTTCAGGATCACTAGAAACTTCCAAGCAGGTGTGATTTGGAGCTGGTTGGAGCTAAACTCTGCAGAGCTGTGGCCCTCCAGGAATTGAGTTTGAGACCACTGACTTACAGCCTCTCAGATCTGGCAGTACAACTTCAAATCCTAGCGCTTTGACTTTTGCTACTCCTTTTACGATATTCCTGTAGCAAAACTCACTTGTGCACTTGTACATGCAGAAGTGGGGGTGGGGTGGTGGTGCAAATTAAGTCATTTTATTGGCGTAGCTTTGCCACCTAATGAGTGCACAAACAACTCAGTGACGGTGACACTCTTGAATATCTTTACAAAGAACCTCACAAGATTTGTCCAATCCAGTAACTAGTTCTTTGGAAATCCTGTTCCTCTTTACCTTCAAGATTCCTCTCACTCGCCTCTATCTTTCAGGTGATCATGTGATGTCACGTTTCCATAACGAGGTGGAGCGGATGGGATTTGATACTCTGAATGCCTGGAGAGTGTCTGAGATCAACAACAAGTACAAGTGAGTGTTTCTCTCACAAACAGAAGCACATCTAAAACTGCTCTGGACACTCTGCGGGACTTTTCAGAATTAGATGACTTTAGACAGGCATCAGTCAGTCTGAACACACCTCTGCTTGCCCCCTGACACAGGTTGTGTTCCAGCTACCCTCAGCTGCTGCTGGTGCCAGCCTGGATTATTGATAAAGAGCTGGAGAATGTGGCCGCCTTCCGCTCCTGGAAGAGGATTCCGGCCGTGGTTTACAGGTCAGTCTTCTTCATTGGGGGTTTTTTTTTGTGTGTGTCTTTTTTTTTTTTTATACTTTTACAAATTTTGGTACTTTTACAAATTTTGGTACTTAAACTTTATTTCATTTACTTGCCAAGGAAACATTTTCAATTTTTTTTTAAATATTTCTATTTGATTTATATTTCAATATTTATCTTTTATTTAAGATTTATTTCAAATAATGAAAAATGTTTAATAGTTTAATCGTTTTTAATCTGTCGTTCTATTTATCGTTCTCTCATTCTGTCTATTATTCATTCTGTCTTTCTGTCAATCGTTCTATCAGTTATCGTTCATTCTATTTATCATTCTCTATTTAGTGTATTTAGCTCTCTATATATATCTGTCTGTCTGTCTGTCTGTCTATCTATATCTTCATTGTCTTTTTTGTAGTGGTCGACCGATATATCGCCAAGGCCAATATAACGGCCGATATTTGGCATTTTTTAAATATCGGCATCGGCCGATAAGTTTTCCTGTTTGGCCGATGCGTTCCAGGTGGGACTTTTATTTTGACGGTGCTGAGAACGGCAGCGCCTGAGCACACAGTGCTCACATTCTCCCTCTTGTTCGCTGTTGTCGTTAACAGTTCTGTCTAAATACGGATGTAAGTCTGTCTAATAATCAGATAGAACGAGTTAAACAAAGGAATTAAAATGTATACAAAAATTTTTACAACGATTGTTTTTATATTATTAGTATTAGAAAGGCAAACATTATAATACTTCCTTGCTTGCCGTCAGCATTCAGCAAATACCCTACTCATTTATATAATTTAAACAAATCTTTGAATGACTAATGAACATTTAATTTCACAAACCTTGCAAACTTAGTCGGATCCAGTTGTGAGATCTTGTGAAGTGTGCATGTGACCTGCATGATCGTGTGTTCTCTGTGTGACTTTCGGTCCGTGTGAATTGAATGTGGACAGGAGGAGAGTTCAGCTTCACTGGAGACGTGCGATCGACAAACTTTAAACTTGTGAGTTCAAATTATGCTGCGCTTTATGCATATGCATATGCCCACTGCCATATTCATGTCATTTCCACTGTGTGCTGTATGTAAAATGAGTGTTACCTTGGCTTTATTTGAAAAAATACGATTCCCTAATCCCAATGCACACAAACTTCCCAGAATACTGAGTGCCCTGATGGTTACAGTGTTTACTTCCTTTTTAGTATCTTTTTTTTATGAAATATTTATTTGTGAAAAATACTTTGTCATCTAAAGTACAAGTATGTTTATTTAACACATTTATGTTTTAATACATTTTCAAATTATTTCAGATTTCTTAAATATTAATTAAAATAAATAAAATTATATCGGCCATTGGCCACCCTACGTTCCAAGATATCGGCATCGGCTGTCAAAAAAAAACAATATCGGTCGACCACTACTTTTTTGTTAGTTATTATTTTTTTACATCTTTTTTTTATTAGTTTTAGTAATTTTGGTACTTAAACTGTATTTCAGTTACTTGCCAAGTATATTCTGCTTTGCATCACAGGAATAAATTACATTCTATAATATAATAAAATATTTAAAAAAAAAAAATTATTTGTAATAAAATTTCACAGTATTGCTGTTTTTAATTTATTTTTGATCAAATAAATGCAGCTTTGGTGAGCAGAAGAGATTGGAAAAAGGATCACCCCCTTGAGTCAGTGTTTTGTTGAACCACCTTTTGCTTTAATTACAGCCTTTAGTCTGTTGGGATTTGTCTCGACTAACTTTGCACATCTAGACTTTGCAACATTTGCCCACTCTTCTTTGCAAAACTGCTCAAGTTCAGTTCAATTTGATGGTGAGATTTGTGGACTGCAGTCTTCAAGTCGTTCCACAGATTTTCAGTGGGGTTTAAGTCTGGGCTCACAACACAGCCATCAACCCCCCTCCCCCTACTGCTTCTAAGCCTGCATTTAAAGGGGTGGTTGACTGTTTTTTGTTATAGGCTTGATTGTGTTTATGGGGTGCAGTCTAACATGTGTTAATGCTTCGTTTGTTAAAAAACACATTATTTTTCACATAATTTACCTTTATTCCACACCTCTCTGTCCCTTCTACTCTGAACGCACTGATCATTTCCTGCTTTTATGAAGCCCCTCCCTCAGAAATACACGATGGGCTCTGATTGATTAGCTGGCCCAGTGTGTTGTGATTGGCTAAACCACCTCTAGCGTGCGTCTAAACGTCCCGCCCCTCAACATAGCTGCATGTGATCCGGTTGTATTGTAAACAATGACGTCGTCTATGTTGCTTATCAATTTGAGCCCGATTGAGACGCAGAGGATAGTATTGAAGAGGATTGCGCAGAACCTGTTTCACGGCTTTTAATGATAGGCCTAAGATTTTTTGTCTTATAAACTGTCTCATACTTTTAGATACGCTGTTATTTGTAAATGCTACTGCTTCTGTTAGCTTTTATATATACGTTTTATTCTGATTAAAGCTTTAATACAGTTCGGCAACCACACGCCACGCCATGTATAACGCTTCTCATAACTATAGTATGTGAAAATAAGTGTATTCACTGATCTGAATGAGAGCGAGAGAGAGAGATGCGGAGCGTGTGCAGAGCAGGGCGAGGCCAGGAACAGGATGAGACGCTGCTTTAGAACATTGATTTTGAAATTTGTGAATCCATTAGAATCGTTAGAAGACTGAATCGCGATTCATATGAATAGATTTTTACATGCAACTGTAGTTTTCTCTTCCTCTTTTCTAAAGCAGCGTAGCATGGTCTCGCCTCCTTTGCTGCATGTTCCCGGAGGCGGGGTTTTTGTAAAATTCTGGGTTCTTGACGTAACGGACCCGGGAAGTCCCTTATCAGTCGTTTTTGTAGGCATTAAACTGCCAGAATTTTAAAAGACGATATCTCCGTTTGCATTGAACTTTCAGCTTCGTAACTTTGCAGATATTGTTTATGATCAAACAGCAACATTACACACTAACTGACATTAAAAAAGTTCGCAATCAACCACCCCTTTAAGATCTGTGAAGATGATGTACGCAAAGTCTTCAGGAAACAGCTGCTGTCCAGCTGTCATCTATCTTCACGCTGATCTTCAACAGATCGCTGGAGCTTTGTGAAATCCCCTCCTGCTTCAAACGCTCCAGCATCATCCCTGTTCCCTAGAAACCAAAAATCACTGGACTAAATGACTACTGACCTGTTGCTTTAACGTCTGTGTTCATGAAGTGATTTGAGAGACTGGTGTTGGTCTACGTGAAGGACCCTTGCTGGACCCCCTGAAGTTTGCTTACCAAGCAACAGATATTACCAAACTGACACAGCTCTCTGTACCCACCTCCATCTGTCAGTGGATCACATCCAATACCCGCACCATCAGCACTGGAGCTCCTCAGGGGTGTGTGCTGTCCCCACTGCTCTTCTCCCAAATGACTGCATCTCTAAAGACCCCTCTGTCAAGCTCCTGAAGTTTGCAGATGACACCACAGTCATCGTTCTCTTCCAGGATGGTGATGAGTCTGCTTACAGACAAGAGGTTGAGCAGCTGGCTGTCTGGTGCAATCACAACAACCTGGAGCTGAACACGCTCAAAGCTGTGGAGATGATAGTGGACTTCAGGAGAAACCCCCCTGCACTCCCCCCCCTCACCATCATGAACAGCACTGTGGATGCAGTAGAGTCATTCAGGTTCCTGGGCACCACCATCTCTCAGGACCTGAAGTGGGACACTCACATAGACTCCATTGTTAAAAAGGCCCAGCAGAGGTTGTACTTCCTTCGCCAACTGAAAAAGTTCAACCTTCCACAGGCACAGATGACACAGTTTTACTCAGCTCTGATTGAGTCTGTTCTGTGCACTTCTATTACTGTCTGGTTTGGGTCAGCCAGCAAATCAGATATAAGAAAACTGCAATGGACTGTTAGGGTAGATGAAAGGATAAATGGTGTGCACCTCCCCAACCTTCATGAAGAAACGGGCAGGTAACATCATCACAGACCCCATCCATTTTTCTTTCTTTCCTGGCAAGTGCTCCAGTCCCTGCTGCAGAATACATGTGTGTGAATGAGAGGGATCCAAGTGGAACAGTGAGGTTACAGGAAGAAGAGATAAAGAAGGTGCAGGATTTTAAGTACTTAGGGTCAACAGTCCAGAGCAATGGGGAGTGTGGAAAAGAGGTGAAGAAGCGTGTGCAGGCAGGTTGGAATGGGTGGAGAAAAGTGTCAGGTTTGTTGTGTGATAAAAGAGTACCCGCAAGAATGAAAGGAAAGGTGTACAGGATAGTAGTGAGACCAGCGATGTTGTATGGTTTGGAGACAGTTGCACTGAGGAAAAGACAGGAGGAAGAGTTAGAGGTAGCAGAGCTGAAGATGTTGAGGTTCTCTTTGGGAGTGACGAGGATGGATAGGATCAGGAATGAGTACATCAGAGGGACAGCACATGTGAGATGTTTTGGAGACAAAGTTAGAGAGGCCAGGTTGAGATGGTTTGGACATGTTCAGAGGAGGGAGAGTGAATATATCGGGAAAAGGATGTTGAGGTTAGAGCTGCCAGGCAGGAGGACGAGAGGAAGACCAAAGAGGAGGTTTATGGATGTAGTGAAGGAAGACATGAAGGTAGTCGGTCTGAGAGAAGAGGATGCAGAAGGGGATAGGGCTAGATGGAGGCAAATGATTTGCTGTGGCGACTCCTGAAGGGAACAGCCGAAAGGAAAAGAAGAAGAAGAAGAAGCTCCAGTCCCTGCTGCAGAGAAACGCCCCATAACAGGACATCACCACCTCCATGCTTTACTGGAGGAATGCTGTTATTTGGATGGTAAGCTGTATTGGATTTACGCCAGACTTATCGTTTGGTGTTGAGGCCAAATAATTCAATTTTAATGTCATCTGCTTCAGAATCTTCAAGGTGCGTTTTGGCAAAGCTCAGTCTAACTGCATGTGGCCTTTCTTGAGGAGTGGCTTTTTTCTTGCAACCCTCCCACACAAGCCACATTTGTTGATATTTGTGATATTATTATAACATGCATTGCACACAATGACCACTCTTTGTCATAAATTCCTGCAGCTGCTTCAGAGTTGCTGCCGGCCTCTTGGTAGCCTCTCTGACCAGTTTCCTTTGGTTTTTTCATCCAGTTTGGAGGGACGTCCTGATCCAGGGAGGGTCTGTGTTGTACCAAATACTTTCCACTTCTTTACTGTGCTTCTAGGCATTGATAAAACCTTTGACATTTTTTTGGCTCCATCTCCTGACTTGTGCCTGTCCACAACTTTATCCCGGAGATCTTTTGACAGTGCCTTGCCACCCATAGTTGATTGTTGGCTTCAGTTGCACTACCAAGGACTGAAATGCACCAGGAAAGCTCTTTTCATGTTGAGCTAATAAAAATGACAGCTAATCAAAATGACATGCCAATATTCAGTTATAGTCATAGTGCCACCAGCTGGCAGCAGGAATTTTGGCACATATAAATGACTTTGACATATTCCTCCTATATTTACCACTTTAAATGCATTTTGCCCATCGTTCACTGTTTTCCTAAGGCCACCAGGTGGAGGTGGCTCTGGGTGCGAGTGCCCATTCAATGCTGCTTGCAGCTTTAATTTTATTTATATTTTTGTTTTATTTAAGCTTTATTTCAATTAATGAAAACAGTTTTACTAGTTTTAGTTTTACAACAATTACAAGATTGCCTAGAACCTTCAGATTAAGAGTCCAGTTCTTTAACCTCTCTTTCCCAGGCACCAGAGCACGGGAGCAGTGATCGCTCGCTGTGGTCAGCCTGAGGTCAGCTGGTGGGGCTGGAGGAACGCAGATGATGAGCACCTGGTGCAGTCCATCGCCAGAGCCTGTGCCGTTGACAGCAGCTCCTGTAAAGGCGTCTCCAATGGCTCCTTCTCCCGCGAGTACACTAACGGAGCTGACCTCTCAGATGTGGACTTTGGTCAGTACCACTTGGCCCTTAAAAATCTTGACTGAATACTGTTCTCAATACTGATTATTGTCATATTATATGACTTGATCTATACATACATGTCTCTTTCTATAGACTCGTCTATGACTAACAGCTCAGAGGTGGAGACACTGGCCATCCAACCTCGAAAGCTTCTGATCCTGGACGCCAGGTCATACGCCGCTGCCGTAGCCAACAGAGCCAAAGGAGGAGGGTGTGAATGCCCAGGTACTCTCTCCTAGATGCTCTTTCAACAATCACAGTAAAACAAGACGCCCACTCATTAATGACGTGTTGTTCTCCCCCATAGAGTACTACCCTAACTGTGAGGTGGTTTTTATGGGTATGGCCAACATCCATTCCATCCGCAAGAGTTTCCAGTCTCTGCGCTTTCTCTGCACCCAAATGCCTGATCCAGCCAAGTAAGTCTTCCAGCAAACATCTGCTGCAGTTGTAGTCTGTTTGTTTGCTTATTGATATATTTTGCCTTTTAGGGACATAACATGCTTTTTTTTTTTAATACTTGCTATCGAGCTGTTCAAATGTATTATAGGTAATTGATCCGTCTCAAAATTTGGGTCTGGGGCAAAAGCCTAAAATTATATTTGAAATATTGAAACTATATTGATTTTATGCATTAACATAATTTTTCTATATAGATCTACACTGTAAAAAATTATTTGTAAATACACTATTGGATTATTATTTTTTTTTTACAAGAAAATACTATTTTCTACTTCAGTATTTATTGTTCAATTCAATGTTAATTGTTGTTTCTCTGTAATTTATTTGTGAAATTTACTAGCAATTTATTTTGCTTTGAATCAAATGTTAAGCGGATTCATTTGGATCAAGTATTGACTTCAAAGCTGTGACCCAGATGGAAAGTGGAGTGCTACTGTTGAATTCTTTACCTGTTGATCAAAAGCGTAATTTTAATAACTATCAGTTCCTGCTCTACATGAGTGATTGAAGTGCATTATTCCTTTTCCATCCACGCTGTTTCCACTCATCTATTTGTTGTAAAGTCAACAGCAAGTCTTCCAAGTGACTCTCTCTCGGTTTCTTTCACTCTGTCGTTCTCTCTTGAGTCAGCATGATAAACTCTGGCCAAGAGCTGCGTTTCTAAGCAACAGAATTGTAGAGAGGAAAAAAATTGAATTCTCTCCTTTGATTATTCTGATTGTAAATGTCTCGCTGCATGAGGTAGTCATATTCATACAAAGGCGATTTTCCTTTTAAACACTATTCTGATTCATGTTCCTCTCAGGAACTATAATTTGAATGTCTCCTCCGGTTACCTGCACTCTGTGTTTCCTTGGCTAATGTCAGTTTGCTTTGGCTGTATTTGACCATGTTGGAAAACTTTTAAAATGAGTATTAACCACACTTGTCAAACCGCATTCTTTAGTCCTTCTCACAGTTTTCCATTAAGATGTAAACTCAGTTTTCCTAATGTGCATAATGCTGTTTTTGTTTCACCTGTATTAAATATAATTGAAAACAGGTTAGTATGTGATTTTTTTTTTCAGTATGCAGACATATTGTAATATAAACAAATCAAAGATCCTCCCCAGTTTGCATAGAATATTTAGGCTGCATTTATTTAATAAAAATACAGTAAACGCTGTAATATTGTGAAATATTATTATAATTACTGCTTTCTATTTAAATATATGGTAAGATGCAATTTATTCCAGTGAGTCAAAGCTGTATTTTCAGCATCATTACTCCAGTCTTCAGTGTCACATGATCCTTCAGAAATCATTCTAATAACATTATATGCTGCTCAAATGTTAAAAAAAACAGTTGTTCTGCTTCATATATTTGTGGAAACTGTTATTTATTATTTTTTTCAGGATTCTTCGATTAATAAAAAAGTTAAAAAGAACAGCATTTATTTGAAATATAAATATTTTGTAACATTATAAATGTCTTTACTGTTGCTTTTGATCAATTTATTGCATCATTGCTGAATAAAAGCCTGAATTTCTTTAAGAAAAAAGTCATCACATAATAATAGTATAGTATTCAGCAACTAACTATATGAGAAGTTTGTCGACCATATTGCATTGCATAATGTGTCAAATTACAAGTCTTAAAGTTACAGTTTGCTACAAGAAACCGTTTGAACATGCTTCAGATGTGTGTAATGGTGAGTTTTGTTCTGTCTTTAGCTGGCTGTCTGCTCTGGAGAGCACAAAGTGGCTGCAGCATCTGTCCCTCCTGCTCAAGGCGTCTCTCCTCGTTGTGAACGCCGTGGACCGTGACCACAGGCCCGTACTGGTGCACTGCTCAGACGGCTGGGATCGCACCCCTCAGATAGTGGCGCTGGCCAAAGTCCTGCTAGACCCGTACTACCGCACCATTGAGGTGAGCGCCAACATAACAAACAAAAATAGGGAAGAAAATTAAAATTCCCCCTGAATTATTGCGAGAGGAATTCATAAGCTATATCACATGCTGCAAAAATCCACAAGGGCTTATTTTAAATCCTGTGGTTTGAAATGCTCACAAGGACATGTTTACATAGACAATGTAAAAATGTAAAAATATTAGTAATGCTGCCCGACCTTGGAGCACAACACACTTTGATTGACATCGACTGAACAACAGAGAGTCGTTTTTGTGGTGAGGGAACAGCTGTATGTGTTACTAAGCGTGAAAGTTCAGAAACTGAAGCTGTAGAACTAATAGAACGTGATGACACAGAAGAACTCGTCCACAGTATCCACACTGACCTCCACAAATATCCACCACCCCCTGCCATCAGCTCCCTCATCTCACACACACGAGCGCGACTTTAGTATTAGATTTAGCAACTTTCAGACCCTTTTTCCATAGAATATTCATAGTGATAAACCTAGCGATTTTTTTGGATAAACATTAGCTATGGTTCAGTTGGGAGATTTCACCAGTGCTGTCCCGCGAACGCGAGGTCTGACTTTCCCGGAGAAGTGTCGCGTCTCTCAGCATCTGTTCTGTGCAGTGAGCAGCAGAGAAGCACCGCAGCCGACTCGTCAATAAATGAGTACAAAACAGCGTTTCCTAGCACCTGTCGCTTACTGATTGTTTGGAATTATAAATATGAGCATAATTCGTCTGTTAATATCACATGCACTTTTTTGTTTGTTGTTTTTTTTAGTTTATTACTCAGATGCAGGCAGTGCGCTGCATGAGACAAAAAAGTAATCTAGCCAAAACAACCGCATAGCTGCTCTTTAGTGTAGATGCATGTTGATTTTATCAGACGATGCCACGATTATAAATGAGAGTGACTCCTGGTTAACATGTATTAAAAGAGGTCATGTTTAGTCACTATTTAGTGTGCTATTTTTTGACAATATTCACTCATCATGACAGTAAAATGGGGCATTCTAAGTCAATATACTGTAGTATTTCCTCTCCCAATCAGTAGAAAATATGGTTAACACCAGGTCATGCATGAAAAAAAATACCGTCATGTACCTTGAAACCGGTATAATTTTGAAAAATACCGTGATATAAATTTTTGGTCATACCGCCCAACACTAGTGACAACTTTTGTACCTTTTTTCTGAGAGTGTAGTGTATTATTTGGGTGACTTTTCATAGTCTAATATTTACTAGCAGCAGCTGGATCCAAGCAACAATGTTAGAGACTGGTGTTTACTAGTAGACTCAGTGTGGGGTGAGATTACAGCTTTCACACCATCCGAATGGGCCAAACTCTGACATCAAAACACCAAAATTATAGTCATTAAAATATTTTCTCAACCTCTAATATCATCCAACCAATTCCCTTCATTGTTTGCACTCCAGACTTTTTTTTGTTAACAGGGAAGATCCTACTTTATGCTCCTTATTCCAGCGTGCAATATATTTGAGGGATATTTTAATGGATTATGATGGTTTCAGCTCCTCTAAGACTCTTTTTACATTCTTTTTACATTCATATGAATGAATTTTTATGAAGTAAGGCCAGATTTAGTTTTAGATTTTAAATTTTTTTTTCAAAGATAAACTTAGAATTGTTTTTCATTCATTTTTCTTTTCAGATTTTGCCTAATTTTAACCTGTTTCTCGCTATCAATAGGAGTGGTAACATTAAATTGCAAACAAACAAACAAACAAACCTTTATTCATATAGAATATAGAATTTTGAATCTTTCCAGATCTTGTTTTTTTCACAAGACAGGACATTTTGCAAGTGGGTAGCGTAGTCGATTTCAGTTGAATGTTTTAAAATTAAAGCTATTAAAAATTGTGTTAAATTAAATAAAAGAAATGCATAGAAATAATCAAATGAAATAACAGAAATGTTGCCTTGGCAAACTAACTGAAATAATTTTAAGCACTAAAAATTATTAAATGAAAAAAAACTGAAACTGAAATAGATGTAATTAAACCTAAATAGTAATATTTTATTTACTATTTAACAAAATTAACCTAAAATTAAAATGAGAATATTAAAATATAGTATTTTAATTTACAAAATGTTAATAACTCTTATTGTGTATAAATAATACTAAAATAACAGCTTTTTTTTTACTGAGCATGATGTCTAGAGACTTTCTTTTACAACTAATAGCAAGCTGTCTGTATGGAAAAAGTAAATGGAAAACTGGACAGAAAAGCCCCAGCTGATGTCCGTCATGAAGATAGTTTTGGAGCTTGAACTCAGAAGATGCATGAGCTGTCTCAAGTGCTAGAAGAGGCATTACTGTATTTTAGACATTCATATCTAATTGTCTGATGTTGAATACATGCTGTGTTCTGGAGTTATTTTATGATTTGTGTTGACATCAAACTGTTGACGTCATATAAACAGAAAATCTTCTTTCTGCTCACAGGGTTTTCAGGTGCTGGTTGAGACCGAGTGGTTGGACTTCGGTCATAAGTTCGCAGACCGTTGTGGTCACGGAGAGAACGCGGAGGACTTGAACGAGAGATGTCCTGTCTTCCTGCAGTGGTTAGACTGTGTGCACCAGCTCCAGAGACAATTCCCATGTTCCTTCGAGTTCAACGAAGCCTTTCTGGTGGGTGAAAGTTGGCATAAGCCTGTGTCATTTTTAATATTAAACATGCTTTTGTACTTTAAGTCGTTGTTGAACTAGCTCGGAGTTCTTTTGGTTTTGTGTGTTCAGGTGAAGCTAGTGCAGCACACGTACTCGTGTCTGTTCGGGACGTTCCTGTGTAACAGCAGGAAGGAGAGAGAGGACCGACACATCCAGGAAAGAACCTGCTCCGTTTGGTCTCTCCTCAGAGCTGCCAATCGCTCCTTCAAAAACATGCTGTACTCCTCTCATTCAGAGACCGTACGTCAGCTCCTCTCAGTCTGTCTTTATGCATTACTCTCTTATAATCATTTCCTCATAAGAGGTTATATGAGGTTACAACCGATAGGAGGTTTTCATTAGCTCATGTCCAAAGAGCAGATATAATAGATTTTGATGACTATTATACAGTGGGGCAAAAAAGTATTTAGTCAGCCACCAATTGTGCAAGTTCTCCCACTTAAAAAGATGAATTGCAGTGTGAGAGTGATTTTTATTCCATGTAGTTGCTCAGTTAATATGATCTTTTCAAAACTGCGTGTGCATCATTACTCCAGTCTTCAGTCTGACGTGATACTTCAGAAATCATGCTAATATGCTGAATTTTAAAGCAGCTTTGTTACATAAGTGTTAATTTCTGTTTAAAAAAAAAAAAATCGTACTGATCCCAGACTTTTGAACGGTAGTGTATTATATCAAATTGAAAAGATAAACATTTATTTTATACGATGAAGTGTATATTGTTAATGTATTGTTAATAATCTATCAATCAAAACAAGTACCATTATTTTTCATGACCCATTTTTCATCGCTACTCATGTCTGTACAGCACTGATTCTATTCATAGCAATGTATTTTTCCCTTTCCTGACAGACTTCGACTGCCTTTGCCTCATAATTCATACCTCTATTTTGTAGTAGTTTCGTTTGACCTACAGTATGTGTAGTGAGTAAACATGAAGAGAGGCGTTTACTGGCTTCACAGCTCGTGCTTGCATTCCTCTCTAATACTCAATTAGAAATACTCGCCAGCTGCGGCTCGCTGACCCTCCACGCACGGGGCACTTGCTCCCACCATCGCTGCCTGCACTTGGGGTTTCTGGGCCGGCCGAGCTTCAGCCCCCCAGACCCGGAGCTGCCGTATCCTTTCATTTTCTCTTAAAGCTAGATCACACCGCCCCAACAAAAATGCTTGTTGGATTTTAATTTGGATCAATGTTTTAGCCCTGTTGGTGGGCAGTGTTATTTTATGATCGTTAATCTATTATTATAGTATGTATTAATATTTTTAATTTGGTTTTTATTTTTAAATTTTCCATTTTAGTTTTAGTGTTTTTGTTTTTTATTTATTTGTTTTCCTTTTTTTATTTTATTTCAACTCTGCTTATGGTAATTTAATACTTCAACTTAAACTAAATGAAAATTAAAAATTAAAATAAGTTTTTTTTAAACTGTTTTATTTTATTAATTGTATTAGTTTTATTAAGGTAATTTTTATTAATTTTATTAGCATTTATTTTATTTTAAATAATGTAAATGTTATTGTTAAATAAAACCACACTGTTGGTGGGTCAAATTGAAAATGATGATAACCAACTTATATGGAAATAAAACGTTTTGTTTTTTTTGCCTCAAACTTTCAGTTTCAGTTATATATTGATTAACGGGTTGATAAAATCTTAAAAACTTGATAAACTTAACTTTTTTGTGTGCCTTTTCCTCTTATTTCTGCTTTAATTTGATCAACTGAACTAAATACATCATGTGAATTTTCTGAAACCTCTCAGAAACATGTCTGGGTCATTTTTCATACCTAAATCCAAAATCCAAGGAAAGAAATAAGTCTTTATGCAGAATCTTTCTTCCTTTCTTTCTTTTGGTGTCAAATATGAACTAATCATTTAGATTTTTACGCAATTTCAATCATCTATTTATATTCTGTCTCTGCTGTTCCTACTAGGTGCTTCATCCTGTGTGTCATGTACGCAATCTCTTGTTATGGACAGCAGTTTACCTACCCAGCTCTTCACCCACAACCCCTTCTGATGACTCCTGTGCCCCCTACCCTGCACCTGGTGCCAACCCTGAGGACCAGCCCCTCGGCAGGTAATTACTTTATTTGTTTGTGTGTTTCGATCTAAAATACTTCACTTTAAGGATGGAATACACAATACAATTTTAGCCCCGATTTACACTGGATGAGTCAGGGCTAGTTTCCCGTGAGTCAGAGCCCGTCTGCAGAATTAAGCTGACATATTTCATAGAAAATCATGTAGTGTATGTTTACATGTTTATTCCATTTTTCTTTAGCTTCAGACTATGATTCCATCCTAGGGCTGCCACTAACGACTATTTTTATTTCGATTAATCTATCGACTAATTTATCGATTAATCTAAACGGTTAATTAAAATCAACCATTTTACTTAAGAATATTTTATTAAACTATATTTTATTAAACCAAATGAAATCCAAATTTCGATGAAATCCTTTTTTTAAAGCAAAAGTAAAGTGCAAGAAGAAGCAAGTGTCCATCTCATAGTCCAAATCACTGAAATCAAAGTTCAGTATTATAGTGTAAGAATGACAACATATCCATGTGTTCTAGTCTACTAATAATAAAATTATAATCAAAAAACACTTTTTAAAGGAATATTTACCAGAAATATTATCGACCAGAATTTATTTAGGATAAAAAATGTAAATGTGCAGAATTTCTGAATTTTTTTTATTTTTTATAAAATCAATTGATTGGAAATGCTTTTGATTATTAAAATGTAATGGAACCATTAAAACGTAATCCAGAAAATAATGCAAAACAGAATTTGGTAAAGATAAAACTGTAAAACTCAATTAATTAGACAGGCTTTTTGATTAATAAAATGTAATTTAACCATTAAAACAGAGTATAGAAAAAAAATGAATTTGGAAATAAAACGGAGTAATAAAATCATAGTGCCCTATAATTATAATAATTTTTTTTGTGGTAATAAAAATAGATGTAAGTGAACAATAGCCTTTAAAATTACTTAAAATACATATAATAGCAATGAGGCAATAATAATTAGTTCAAATAAAGTATCAAAAGCAAGAAATCATATGGTTTTATTGAACAAAATTGTTAAAATACATAATGTATTATAAACAGTAGAGCTAATGTGCATTACGCATTACAACAAAGCCCTGCAGAGGGTGCCAACGGCCTGATTATTATTTTTACACATTGCTGTGCGATCTAATACTTGTGTAATATTGACCAAGCACCATTTCATTCAAATGTCCACTTAATCTTTAATATTGGCCATTTCTTTAGGACAGAAATGCTATAGCCACTGTAATTAAAAGAATATGTGGACATCAAAACGTGTAAACTCAGAGTGAGAGTTTGAGCTTTTATTTTGAAACCGCAATGTAGCCTATTCTGCGATGTAGTGTTTGCGTAGATTTATAAATGATTTACCTTACAAATCTGATGAAATGGCTCATGTTGCGTTCCCAGATGAACGTTATAATAAACCCAAACTCACAACAACATGCAGAGATGGAGTTTTAGACGCTCCACACATGTAAGTGATAACAGTTCCTGTGAAACTACTGTGAACGGAGCCGCTGTGTGACGCATGTACTTAACCTACACGCATGTGAATAATTAAAGCGCATGTACTGTATTAGAACTGCATCGCATATAATTATTTAATTAAAATCGTAGCGTTTGTGAATTCACAATTATGCTTAATTATGTTTTAATTATAATTAAATAATGTTGTAATTATATTAATAATGTGTTTTATACATTCTCGTCTGTGAAATGCGCCACTTTTTTTTTTGCCGGTTAGTCGACGCGAGCAAAATAAAGTCGAGGACTTTTAAAAATCGAATAGTCAAATAAAATCGACGAATCGCGACAGCCCTATTCCGTCCAGTCAGAGATCAAACATGTTTGATACTTTGAGCCAATTTTAGAACACATTTTGTTTACATTTGTAATGCGTCTCCTAGCAACAAGTCACATGTTTCTGTGTGAGTTTGTTGTTTGGAATATCTTGAAAATCTGGTAGTGTATAATCTGTTCAGATTTAAAAAGTTGTGTAGTGTATTCCAGCTTTTACAGAAGTAAAATGGAATGTAAATTGAGTTTCATGTTGACTTTATTTCTAAAGACTAAAAGGCTTCAAAAAGGTAAAGTTGTGAGCTTGTTTCCATCCCACAGGCGTCCTAAAACCCGCTCGTTCGATAACCTGCCCAGCGCTTGTGAAGTCGGAAACCCGCAGACCTCCAATCGACGTTCCAGCGACCCCAGTTTGAATGAGAAATGGCAGGACCATCGCAGGTCTCTGGAGCTCAACATCGGGACAGGAGCTGACGGTGCTTCATCTCCAGACTCAGATGAGAGGGTCAACGGACAAACCGTGGCGGGGCTTATGGGAACATTGCCCAATGGGGGCACAGAGAATGGGGAGGGGCTTAGGCATGTCAGGTTGCCAATGATGGAGGGCGTTGATGAGGCGGAGCTGATAGTTGGTATGGCTGTGGGCCAAATGGAGAACATTCTCCAGGAAGCTACAAAAGACGAATTGGCACCAGATAGCCGCAGAGACACAAAGACAGACCACACGAATGAAACCTCCACTCTAAACGGCCAGAGTGATGATGTTGCACATTCAGAAGAGGCACAACTAAATGCTGATGCTCAAGAGGGCAAAGCTAAAAGCCTTGGAGATGGAAATGTCAATGGACATTTTTCACAAGATGGTAGTTCTGAAGATTCTTCTGCTCTCAGCCAGGAAACCTCGGGAAGCCCAGACTTAGAAGAAGCACTGGAGAAATGCACGATACAAGAACACAATCCTTCTAGTAACACAAATAATTTCCCTCCCCATGGCCTCAGGACTGTGAGTAACAACCACGGGCGAGAAACCATTGAGCAGGAGAAACGTCTTTCTCTTTTGGAGAGCTCCACAGAGACGCTTACGGAGGACTTGGGCGTTCGGCCTGAGAGTCTGCGACCCTTAACTATCCCACCTCCTCTTAAAGCCCTTGCCGAATCGTCGTGCCTCAAACAGGGTCTCCGCACCTCAACTGACCCCAGGACTTTAAGCAACACCCTCAAACGGCCGTCTCTCAGTGCCTTTCCTCCCTCCACTGACCTCCTCCACCCCGTGTGCAACGGAGACTCCCCCGACCTCGAGTCCTCCACGCCGCAATGGGCGGCGCGCACAAACGGGGAGCGGGCCACGCTCAGCCGACAGGTGTCGCTCGCCAGCTGCGGCTCGCTGACCCTCCACGCACGGGGCACTTGCTCCCACCATCGCTGCCTGCACTTGGGGTTTCTGGGCCGGCCGAGCTTCAGCCCCCCAGAACCCCCTTCGGCCCGGAGCCATCTGGACGATGACGGGTTGACCCTGCACACGGATGCCATTCAGCAGCGGCTGCGGCAGATCGAGGCCGGTCACCAGCTGGAGGTGGAAGCGCTGAAGAGGCAGGTACAGGAGCTCTGGAGCCGTCTGGAGAGCCACCAGGCTTCTGGGATGCTGCGACTCAATGGAGACATGGGTGATGAAGCGGTAAGCAGTGCACACTCAGTGTTGTTTTTGCTCATATGGCTTGGGTTGGTGTTTAAGACATGTTTGATTTATCTTAAGAGACCTTTTCTTTCTGTCAGACCTCATTCGCAGACTCCGACTTCAACCTGGAGCCCAACTGTCTGTCCCGCTGCAGCACTGAACTCTTCTCTGAGGCCAGCTGGGAGCAGGTGGACAAGCAGGACACTGAGGTACATGCTATTATTATGATAAAAACATTTTCTGATATATGGAGACAGAATACAAGGTACACTATAACTCACAAGTTTGGGGTCAGTACAATTTTTACTAATATTTTAATAAGAAGTCTCTTCTGCTTACCAAGGCTACATTTACTTGATCAAAAATACAGTAAAATCAGTAATATTGTGAAATATGTTTTTCAATTTCAAATAACTTTTCTATTTCTATTAACTTTTTCTATTTCTCTGTTTTCTGTTTGAATATATTGTCAAATTTAATTTATTGCTGTGATCAAAGCTGAATATGCTGATTTCCTGAAAAATAAACATTTCTGATTGTTATCAATGTTGAAAACAGTTGTGCTGTTTCATATTTTGTTGGAAACTGATACGTTTCTTTAACGGATTATTTGATGAGTAGAAAGTTCAAAAGAACAGTTATTTATTCAAAATATAAATCTTTTGTAACATTATAACTGTCTTTACTGTCACTTTTGATCAGTTTCATGCATCCTTCCTCAAAAAAAGTATAAATTTCTTTAAAATAAATCAACAATAGTTTATAAAACTATGTTTGAGAATATAGCACGTAAAAATAATATTTCTTCTGATTTGAAAGAAAACATGACATTAAATTTGACCATATTTACTTAATATTTACTTAAAACATTTTTGCACTTATTGTGAGTGATTCTTCAGCGCATGTTAATCTAAAGAAATGTAATAAAGTCATCATTACTTTTAAGTTGAATGCATTATGAATGCCATTTTATGTTGTGTTTAAGGTCATTATGAGGTCTTTTATTGGTCTTTCATTTATTTATTGTTGCAGGTGACCCGGTGGTACCCGGACCATCTGGCCGCTCAGTGCTACGGCTGTGAGAGAGGATTCTGGCTGGCCACTAGAAAGCACCACTGCAGGTAAAACAACATCACAGACTAGCACACAAAAACACACCTCTACAGTCTTCTCTCTCTTTTTTCTATCACCCAACATGTACCTCTTTTAGGGTCAGATGCATTAGTGTTGACTTATTTTCTTGACGTCTCTGGAAAACCTCCCGTTTTTCCTCTCTAAAATTCTTCTGCCTCCGGTCAGTCAGTAAACAGAACAATTTGGCGAAATGTTTCATGATTGACTACTAACTCATTACAGCAGCATTTGTAAACAGAGCAGATTAAACAAACTACTACCCAACTGTGAGGACTAGTGCAGACTGGCCAGTGAGTAAATGGCTGAACGCTCTCGAGTCAACATGCAGGACGCACGGCATTGATGTGGGAACAGCAGAACTGAGCTTCTTAAGATGAAAGTTGTTTTTCTGTTAAAGTTGTACATAGTTTCATTTTTTAGCAGCAGAAAGCTAGTGAGCTGCCTACTGTCTACATAGACGGCATCCTGACTGAAATAGAAGCTCACAAGTGACTGATTTGGAACGCTTCACCTAGGCAGCAACTTCCTGCAACATGCACACCACACAAATAGTGAAGTAGTCTGACATTAGCATGTTGCAATACTGATGACATGATAAACTTAATAAACATAGAAATACATAATGCACACAAATAATGCATTAAAACTCAACTACTATAGATGGAACTGTCTGTATGTGTTATTTTTAGTAGAGTAGGGATGTAACTATAATCAATACAAATATGCTATACTATTCAAATCGGTTGAGATATTAAACGAATCACAATACAATTACGGGTAGGAATTCATATGAATGTATCTCTGAGGGGAGATGACCGTCTTCAGAAAAGTTTAGACAGCGGTAACCAAGGAAACGCTGTATCGCTGCTGTTCCATAAGCGCCACCTGCTGTCAGAGAGTGAATTTGCGTTTTCATTCAGCCCGTCTGCTGTTTTTGTTTAGTGCAGATGTTTTATGTAGTATAGTTTCACAAAATTAAAGTCAGACCGTTCTGTTTTTGCTTCAAATTTTGAAATTATACAATCTAATTTAGATTAAAAACTTCTCATGCTGCATGTATACAGAGCACAGACAAAGCCTTAGTTTGTTTATATGAAGAGAGTTCTTTTATTTGTGATGTTTATTTATTTGATTTGGGGTTAATTTTAATTTAGTTTTGCTATTTGACATATTTCAGTTTCACAAAGAAATATGCAGCGTTTTGTCCAAGCAATAATAAAACTACACTTTTTCATTTAGAATTTGCCTTAAATCTCATTTTGTTAAAGAAAATCGAATCGTGAAATCAGTATTGTGAATCATATCGCATCGTCAGTTGAGTGAATCGTTACATCCCTACAGTAGAGAATATGAAATATTACATGTAGTTTTTATTTCTCTCAACTCTATCTGCCATTTTGGCCACCATGCATTCTGGGGTTGTTTGTTGACTGAAAGCGTCCTTAGAATTTAGCCTAAAACTATTTGGCCAATGATGCATTCAAATGCTGTCTAGTTAGAAATCTGTCTAGGTTATAAACTACTAGGAGTTAAAGTTGATTTTTCCTCTTGTACCACAGAGGCAAGGAACGTATGGAAGAGGTTTGGTGAGAACTGCTCTCTCTCTGTCATTCTCAGGCCCTTGTACGTCCTGTTAACCCTGCATCGCTTCAGAGTGACCTAACCCTCCTCTCTTCTCCGTCTCTGCACGGGGGTTTCTCTGTTATAATTTGAGGGAGAAATCAGTATATTAGAATAATTTCTGAAGATCATGTGACACTGAAGACTGGCGTAATGATGCTGAAAATTCAGCTTTGATCACAGAAATATATATTTTTTTAATATATATATATATATATATATATATATATATTAAAATATAAAACGGTTATATTAAATTGTAATAATTTTTCATAAATTTACTTTTTTTTTTATCAAATAAATGCAGCCTTGGAGAGCATAAAAGACTAATTTTAAAAACATTTGTTAAAAAATCATACCGACCACAAACTTGAGTAAATAATAAAAATATGATCTTTATTATGATATCGGGGAAAAATAAAATGCTGTAAAAGTGTAAGATCCGGACACTTGAAGTCCCTTTAATGTTAGTCTGTGTTTCTTGGACCAAAACCAGTCATAATTCAGCTTTTCATAACCATTTTCCACACTCTCTCTGATCTTTTGGGCCTTTAAGAGTATTTTCCATATGTGAAAGACCTCTGTTATGACTGTTTTTATTATTAAATCAGAATTAATATTAAATAAATAGTGCATTCAGTTCTAATGCATTCAGATCCTCTCTTAAGACAGTCACATATTATAAATGTTTTTTATATATTCTAATCTGCCCTAGTTTAAATTCTAAGAGTTATTTATAAAGGCACTGATTGTATTCTTTATCTTTTTTTTTTTCTTTCTAAACTCTTTCTCTAACTCCCTCCTCCTCTTGTCCCCTTTTTCTCCTGTCTCAATCTCTGCCGCCCCCTGCAGGAATTGTGGGAATGTGTTCTGTGGCAGCTGTTGCGATCAGAAGATCCCGGTGCCAAGCCAGCAGTTGTTTGAGCCCAGTCGCGTGTGTAAGTTGTGTTACAGCAACCTGCAGGCTCCTGCGCCACCTCTGAACTTTGAGCTGGACGAACCCATCACCGCCAGCTCCAACTGATCCCAGACGCACCGCTGCTGAGGACACACGGCACCAGACCGAGGCTCCAGAGACTGTTTTGTGGGGACAAAGTCGCTTCTTTCCCACCCGAAAGGGAATCTTGTATATATGGAATGATGTGGAGAGCAGAGGAGGCTTAGCACTTTCAGAAGAGACAGGGTGCGATTGAGAGCTTGTCTGCATTTGCGATGAAACTTGTCCTGTACCTGCTGCATAGAGGGAAGGTTTTCTCCGACGGCCAGCGGATGGTGTGCAAAAGTAGGATTTCTTCGCTCGTCATCTCACAAAGATAGATTATCGGTGATGATGTTCCTGAGAAAGGTGCTTCTGGGACGAGACCGCAAGATCCTAGCTTTGTTTTTGGGTTCTCATCTCTTTCAACAATCTGCTTCACGGGCTTTTCGTCTTCTTTTTGAGGTGATTCTGGATGCCACAGCATTCAGCCTCTCGAACGCATCGAATTTCCCAAATCATTCCAGACTCTTAGTTTCTTTCTCAAATAGAAAGCATTCACCCTCTGGTTAATGTTGACTGTAGCGCTAGATGGCGCTCTTGTTTCTCTGATCTGCTGTGTGGACGTTGTCTGACGTTTTCACTAGTGCATTTTTTTGTAACATAAATGCGAGATAATATATTAGAATGATTTAAGAATGAGACACATAGCATTTAAGATAAGAAATTGTATAGAATTCTTGAATAGTGGCTCACTAAATTAGTCACCAAATATAAGTTGTGTTGTTTTTCCCCAGTTGTAGCCATTTGGGGTTTTTCTTTTTAATGTATTTCTTATGTTTCTGCCAGCGACGCTGAACAGGTGAATTGAGATGTTTTATATGGAGAGAGATGTTGTGTGATATGCTGCAGTAGGGCCCCGGATGCGTTGTTTTTTTTTTTTGCTCCCAACATTTATTTATTATCAGGTTTATTTTGTCTGAATCGTATGTTCAATCCTGACAATTGCTACACCACAGGATAATCAGTGTTGATGGTTTTGAGCTGCGTTTGCACTGATGATGAAGGCCCTTCCACACACACACACACACACACAATGCACAAATCACAGTCTCTTTTGTTTTCCGCTTTTTGGAGATTCATTCCGACAATTCCCTCAATCAGGAGTTCACCTGATAATACATTTACTATTTACTCACACATGTCATTTTTTTTCTCTCTCTCAAAATGAGGATTTTGGAGACTCCTTAGGCAGTTCTTTTCTGCAAGTTTGGCGCTTGACCGATGTGATGGCTTTGAAAAAGAGCGCCATACATCTTTAAAAATCGTGTAAATGGCAAGAGGGTGAGTAAATAATGATCATTTGAATTTTTCCCGGTGAACTATAACTTTGTCATCGGTCTCGCCAGTGGCGTGAGGGTTCAGTGCCGTAATGATGGGCGTTAATTCCTAAAGCTGATGACATCTGCTCCTCTCTGCAGAGTGTTTTCAGTGTCGGCGGTGGGACAGCTTTTACATTAACGCCAATCCATAAATGTGAATTTTTTTTTTGTTTTCCAGAAAGAGTAATTTCCATGGGTTTATATTTTGCACATTGGTAATCATCAGAAATACACTGTCGCAGATTTCTGTAAGAATAAAACAAAGTGGAATTCCAACGGAAGCGACTGCTGAACTCATTTCACCGATCTGCTCCGTAGTAGACGTGCAAATGCATGTCTTTAGTGTGAGCTATGGCAAGGATTCCTGAACTGTTTTGTCAGCTGAACCGCTTTGAGCTAAAGTATTTATTTTATTTTTAGAGAGATATTTTCAATAATTTAACATTTACATGTTCAAGGTTCTCTGTTTGTTAATGGTCACATGACATGCAGGTAAACAATTAAAATATATTTTTAATAATTTTATATATATATGATGTTTAGTTTGTATTGCGTTTTATATTCTGACATTTTTTTTATTGCTTTTTAGTTTAATTTTCATTTTATTTTTTATGATTTAATGAACTCTCTCACAAACTCCAGTTTGAGAAGCCCTGATTTATGAAACACTTTTAATAACATCGCATATTATAGCTGGAAACATGATGGTTATCTGACTCTAGTATAATTAATCTGGCTCCATAGAAGTTGTTAATATAAAAACTTCCTCCAAACCTATAAAGGCTTTAACGTGAACATTGTCAACAATAATGGTTAAAATAATCATCAGGCAGAGGATCTTCAGTGGTTTAGAGTTGAGTTGAATGAAGAAGAATCACTAGTACTGTACATGAAAGTTCTTTCAGCATGATCAATAAAGATCCTCAAATTCTTTAACATAAAGATATTGTTTTAAAAGGCGGGTCGGGGGGTCTGTGGAAAATGTCTTAACGTGACGTTTAATGTAACACTGAAAACTTTGATCACAATTAATACGCACAGACCTCTTACTATGTTCTGTTTAATTAGAGACAAGTAAATTATACTTCTTGTTAAACACCCTAATTATCCAAATGGTTTGGGTTATGAAAGAGGTTCTGGGTTTAAATATGTCAATAAATGTAGTGCATGAATGTCCGAGCAGTTACGCATATTGATTACAGACTGTAGCATTACATTAACGTGCTGATGAAGAGCAATTACCTGTCTAAATATATTATCGTAGAACTGAGGGCCCATGCGAGCTCAGTTTTAGTTATGATTATAAATGTTAAACATTTCTAAAGTAGGCCTACTTTATATTTTGTTAACTGGGAAATTACCCAAGTGCAAACTTATGGATTTGATCTCTTAATTTATAGCAATAGGTAACGTTATGGATTTTTTTAATTAAACAGAAATATGATATTGTACAAACACCTTCAGGACAATGTTAAAAAGCATTACAGAATGTCACATGTAACAAACAAGAGGGGGAAAGTAACAAACAAAATTTGAAAAAAAAATATATATAAATATGATTAGAAAATAAACTGAAAACTTCATAGCAAAGCAAACTAAACCTCATTATTAGAATAATCCCCCAAAAATCTACACGTTATAGATTGACTCCACCTGCTGCTCCAGCACTGACGTCATTACGTTGCCTGCTGGTCTTGACATCAGAAATAGGCTTGTATTTCATTATTAATTTTGCCAAACTTTTAGCATTTCCGACCCTTTTGGATGCTTTTATCGCGTGATCATGTGCTTTAATTCTGACAGATAAAAGAAGGACTCGACGCCCGAAGAACTGTGTATGGCTCATACTTTAATAATGTTTAATAGAGTTTAATTTCTTTATACAAAAAGAAAGTTCAAGGTAAGCAGCCTTATTAGTTGAAAAACATCGATGATCAATATCAATGTAGAAGTACATGACGTGACGTCCCATAAACCAAGTCAGAATTTACTCATGCGTTTGCTTACAATTACCCATGAACTCAAAAAGCCTCTAATTGAGCTGCTTCATGTTCCACGAGGAACCACAGAAGATCCTCCACAAACCCTGAGGGCTACCGGACATTATTTCACTCGCAGCTGAACAGGACGTCCGTTAACAGATAAGCAGCAGAAATGTCCACACTTGCTGCTGTGTGTGTCGACGAAAGCTTTCACTTGAACATCACAAGGACACTTGTAGCGAGAACATGAAGCATCTCTTTAAAAAGATTTACAAGCTCAGACTCTATTAGCATAAAAATAAACAGTGTGCAGTTCGATAATGTCAGTCAAATAGAGCTTAAAAAACTGGACAAACTGTCATTAAGAGCAGCCGAATTGACTGTTTACCACATTAGCATACAACATACATGGGAATAAAACCTTTTCTGTGCTTTTCTGTAGGAAACCCATTTCAACTGTCTATACAAACAGTTTAATAGCATAAAAATAGACTTCATAGCTTCATCAGTCAAGATCCGCCTAGCTATAAAAATTGAAATCACCATATTTACAATGTGCTAATCACGTGATTAAGTTAAAGGAATATTCCGGGTTTAGTATAAATGTACAGCATTTGTGGTCTGCTGTCCATTACCACAGATCATAATTTCAACGAAACCAAAAATGGTGGTTACAGTAAGATTCAATGAAAGTACGTTTTATGCCTCATCAGTGCACCTCAAGGTCAGTAAATTGATCAGGGATATTCACAATGAGCCTGTTTACATCAAGAAAACTACCACTGTGGTGGTGGTTACTAAATTTCTACCACTAAATGGCTGATTAAGACACTCTACAATTCAAATATAGTCGACATTAGCCATTGTCTTCCATTTTTATTTCTATACTGAGGAAGTCAGTGGCTACCATCAACTGTTTTGTTATCCAGGGTGAGTAAACCATGACTGAATTTTCCATTTTTGGGTAAACTATCCAAGAAACCAAAGGTGAATAGGGTAAAACTTTTAACAGGTATCATACAATTACCAATCTATTAATCAATAAATTGTAATACAGGTTTTCTAAAATGTTGTGAATGAGGCATTAATTAAATATGCACTAATTTGCATACAGTTCCAGAACAGAAGTCTGAACATCGGAGAATGCCAGGTTCAAATGTTTTGTTTCATTTTGTTGAAATTGAATTCATGTTTTTACAGACAGGATTTTGGATTTTCCTTTTTATCAATCAGTTTTTAGAATCAAAATGTTATAAATCAGCCGAATGAGATATGAACAAACCCCTCTGTAACAGCCTTCCCAAATATAGATAGGAATGAAACTGTAAAAAAGTGGGAAAAAATCATTTTGAGAAAATGGCCAGTGTATTATAATTGAAATCTACTGATGCTAATAGATAAAGTGCAACAAAAAAAAAAATGTGGATGTTTTTTTTTTTCTTTTTTTAAAAAGAAGTGGGGGACAAGTCAAAATCATTTTCTGCAGTAATGGCCGTTTTGCCACAAATTGCTGTTGCCAGAGCTTACCGTCCTGAACCTGGAATATTCCTTCAAGGTCTTTCCCCCAAAAATTGCAGTTGTTTTTCTTTAGAATGGACCTTCATGAATGGTTACAGCATGGACAGAGTTTACAACATCAGCACAATGTCCCAGACTCTGGGGCTGCGAGTGAATAACATGGCTTTGTTCACGGTTACAGGCATGAGATGATATAGTTCAGAGTTTTACGAAGCGCCTGTTAAAAGGGCAAGTCCATCCACGCGGGAGGTGGACGATGGCTCTTACGTCATCCCTCCGGCACGCTCTCAGACTGAAGACTGGTCCCAAACCTACACCACCACCAGGATAAAGAGGTCACTTCAACACTTCAACAGGCTGCCTGCCCTGTCTGACGCAGATCAGCTCAGAAACATCATTACTGCTGCTGAGCATCCTGTTTGAGGCCATAACTAGAAGGAATTTAACTACAAAGCAGCTGATGTTCATGCATTTGTGCATGCATGAACATCGTCAAACCTGATGTTTGTATCCCTAAGAGGATACACAGTTTACGTGGCAGTGTCTCATGCGTACCTTGTTGACGGGGGTCAGCTGGGTGCGTACAGAGCTAGTGTGAAGGCGCGAACGCTCCCGGTCTCTCTCGCTGCCGCTGCTCTCGAAGCGCCCGGGTGACCTCTCCCTGCGACTGTCTAGCACAGCCCGACCGGGCGATTTCTCGCGCTCCAGAGGCCGGGCTGGAGATTTGTCCCTGCGGAACTCCGTGCGGCCCTCGCGGTAGCGGTGAGGGGTGCTGGGCTCGCGGTGCAGCGGCCCCTCCTGGGCCCCGGGACCCGAGGCCAGGCGCTTGGAGATGTGCTCGTTGTAGGTCGGCGGCCCGCGCTTGTTTGGGCTGCTGTGAAGATTTGGGTAAATGCATGATGCTTTGACTGCACACAAGATGATTTATACGGTTTGTGAATATGAAATATTGATGAAGCAACTCAAGGCCACATGTGATGTGATTCTATCGCAAGTAAGGGATGTTTTTAGCGAGAATCCCGTGGTAAGATCACTAACAGCAGCAGCAATATGATAATTATGGAAGCTTATTTTTGCCACAGAATAAAAAATATAAAAACGGTAACTGCAACTTTCTTCTTACAACTGCGAATTTGTATGTTATAAATCATTCTCTCGAGTTTGCATCTCGCAATTCCGAATGTTTTTCTTAGAATTTAGAGTTTACATCTCGCAATTCTGACTTCTTTTCTCAAATTCAGAGTTTACATCTTGCAAATCTGACCTGATTGCATGCACATGCAGAATTCAGAGAAAAAAAGTCAGAAATGTGCCATGTAAACTTGCAATTGCAAGACATAAGCTTACAATTCTGAGAAAAATTCTGAATTGTGAGATAAAAAGGTGCCATTAACTTTTTTTATATATTTTTATTCTGTGGCAATAATAAGCTTCCATAGATAGCAGACATCAAATAGTTACATTTACTTTTTACTGGGATTAGAAACAGAACAAAATACAAGACTTTTTGCAGAACATACACAAAAGAAACTGTTCCAGATTGAATGTTACTTGTAAAAGCTGGTTACCAGCTAATTGCATTATTATTTTGTTCCCATCATTTTTAATCCAAAGAACAACAATTTAACAATACACTTTCAGAATTACATCACTTCCTGTTGTCTGAATCTTTTCATTGCCTAGAGGAGTTCACTTGTCCAGTGTTACTGTTAATGTTAACTCAAACTAAAATGATTAAATTTCCGTTACTTGAAATAAAGCTTAAGTAAAATGTAAAAAAAAAAAAATATATATATATTATAAATATAGATGAAAAGATGAATGTCTTGGCAGTTAACTGGAAATAAGTTTAAGCTGAACTAAAATTAATAAAACTGAAAAAGTAATAAGGCAAAAGCACATAGCAAATGTATTAAAACTTAAACTAAAATTATAAAAATAAAAGCTATTTTAAAAACCTAAATGAATACCATAATATATAAATAATGCAAAAATAACACTCCACAACTGACTGTATCGACCATGTTAGATTATGTATCAAGATGTGTTTCCGGTTCTGTGTTTCTGTTTCCTCTGTTTTTAATCCCTGATTATTTATAATAATCACAACATATAATTCTTCATATAGTTCATTAGACTGCCATTTTAACGGTTTGTAGTTGCCAAGCAGTGTAGCAATTTTCTGCATTAATACAGAATGTGTGGTAACAGGTTAAATCAGCAAATATACCACATCTGATTTTCAAACGTGACTCATTCACTCTGAATTTAAAGCCAGACTATCACTCTTAATAAATCGTCATAACCCGCACCTCCTGCTCGAACCGGTCCTCTGCAGTTCCCCAGACTCCCGCACCAGGCTGCCCTTACAGCAGATGACCCGCAGTTTGTTCTGATAGGACGAGGCCAGATAAATGGCACCAGACGATATGGCCGGACCCAGATAACGCGGGTTAGGAATGTCCAAGTGAACGAGACTGGGAGGCCTGTTTTAAAGAGGTTTTACTGTCACTCTCAAGTTCTAATGTTATTTTTGCTGTCTTATATGCATGCATGTTGCTAAACATCCTACCCAAGCGATGCATGGCCCTGAATCTCAATAACATCCAGCGAGTTGAAGTAGGTCACAAACAGGTATGGCTCTCTGAATGCTGGAAACAGACAGATGCTTCGGTTAGTGATCCTGAAGATCCTCATCACTATGTTTTGCACATTTAGGTTTGTTAGAAATGGAAAACTGGCTACCGAATGTCAGGGGAAGTCGACTCCATTTGAGATCATCAGGGCGACTTCTTCGACCGTAAGCATCCACAAACACACCGGTCTCTGTAATCACAAATCAGACATTTAAAGAAAAACAATGCAGAAAATCAAGGGGCATGCTTTTGATTATGAAAATGTAATGAAACCATTCAAATGAAATCCAAAAAAATTACAATTTGGGAATTTGGAAAGCTAAAATTTGGAATTTGAGAAAAAAGAAGGGGGCCCTTCATAGGGCCCTAAAACTTTTAATAATTTGTGGTTAAATTGTATAAGTTTCATTAATTTTACAGCAGATGACCCGCAGTTTGTTCTGATAGGACGAGGCCAGATAAATGGCACCAGACGATATGGCCGGACCCAGATAACGCGGGTTAGGAATGTCCAGGTGAACGAGACTGGGAGGCCTGTTTTAAAGAGGTTTTACTGTCACTCTCAAGTTCTAATGTTATTTTTGCTGTCTTATATGCATGCATGTTGCTAAACATCCTACCCAAGCGATGCATGGCCCTGAATCTCAATAACATCCAGCGAGTTGAAGTAGGTCACAAACAGGTATGGCTCTCTGAATGCTGGAAACAGACAGATGCTTCGGTTAGTGATCCTGAAGATCCTCATCACTATGTTTTGCACATTTAGGTTTGTTAGAAATGGAAAACTGGCTACCGAATGTCAGGGGAAGTCGACTCCATTTGAGATCATCAGGGCGACTTCTTCGACCGTAAGCATCCACAAACACACCGGTCTCTGTAATCACAAATCAGACATTTAAAGAAAAACAATGCAGAAAATCAAGGGGCATGCTTTTGATTATGAAAATGTAATGAAACCATTCAAATGAAATCCAAAAAAATTACAATTTGGGAATTTGGAAAGCTAAAATTTGGAATTTGAGAAAAAAGAAGGGGGCCCTTCATAGGGCCCTAAAACTTTTAATAATTTGTGGTTAAATTGTATAAGTTTCATTAATTAATTAATTAGACATGCTTTTTGATAAATACAATTTAATTTAACCATTTGAACAGAGTCTGGAATACTTAACTGGTGAAAAAATAGTGTTTGGAACAACATGGCGGTGAGTACATAATAATTTTGTATGGACTGTTGCTCAACTAATATTCTCATGCAACAGGAGCTTGCTGTAGTTGAAATGGTCTGATGGGTGTCTGACCGTGGAAGCAGAGCAGATATTCTTCCTTCTGCGGAGTGCTGGACACCTGGACGATGGAGATGGGGAAACTGTGGGAGGATCCAGTGAACACAGCCGATGCCAGCGACACGTCATTCTTGTCCAGGAACTCTGCCAAAAACAGCCCATCATGCAAAACGCTGTTTACATAATGCACAATTACAAATTATAAGGGCCTGATCATGTTCTCACAAATGACCCGCCAGCCGGTCCAACCTGGAATATGCAAATGTGACTGCAATGAATAGCTGAATCCTTTTCAATAACAGATTAATCATAGGAGATATCAGACGTCAGTAGATTGTGGACTGACCTGAAAGTTAAAAACAATCATCTAACTGCATCCCCAGGACGTCACTGATATATACGTACCATCCAGAACACACTGCTTCATCTCAATCTCGTAGAATTTATTGGTACCAATGATGATGCTGTAGCTGGTGAAGTGGATACAGCTGCACGGCTCGAGCGTTTCAATCTCCTGAGAGATAAAGAGACGGATCATTAGGGATGTGTTCATGTGAGCGATCTCTGGAGGAGTCATTAAAGTCAGACCACAAGGCAACAGCTGTTTGCAAAGGAATTACGTTGCTACATTTTTTTAGTTTGCTTCAAGACCCAGAACTTCAAATGTCACTTACCTTCCGTATACAGAATTTGTTCAGATTGTCGTTGTATCGTAGAATTGTGACTTTATTGGGCATTGCAGCACAAATGCATGGACCATTTTCTATCTAAAGCAAGAACAGACACAAAAACCATGTAAGGTACAAATTTGTTGCATTGCACGTCACAATAAGGCATGATGCAATACAGTGCACTAAAAATACACAGAGAGGAAGTTGCAATGCTGTGAAACACACGGTGACTGCAGTCTCACCCTGCCCGCGGCGAATAGATGACAGCCCTTGACGGTCTCAAAGATATACGGCACAATCTCAGGTAGTGTGGGGAGGTGAGACTGGGACAGAGACTGCTTCACTTTCTTAATCTCCACCAGACACAGTGCCCGTTCATCCCCTGAAACACATCAATCATAATCGTCTTATTTTAAATGCACCCTTTGTCAAACAGTACTGTGGTGTTACTACGGTACAGTGATGGTATCATGCAATAAGGTAACTTGGAGGGTGAGGTGTTCAAGTCACAACATCTAGTTACTGGGGTGCCTCAGGGCTCAGTTCTTGGACCACTTCTCTTCTCTGTCTACATGGCATCACTAGGTTCTGTCATTCAGAAATATGGCTTTTCATATCACTGCTATCCTGATGACACTCAACTCTACCTCTCATTCCATCCTGATGATCCGACGAAAGCTGCTCTCATCTCAGCATGTCTAACAGACATGTTTTCCTGTAGGAAGGACCATCACCTTCAACTCAACCTTGCCAAGACAGAACTGCTTGAGGTTTCAGCAAACCCATCACTTCATCACAATTTATCCATCCAGCTAGGCCCATCAACCATAAAAACTTAAAAAACAGCCAGAAACCTTGGAGTTGTGATTGATGATCAGCTGAATTTCACAGACCACATTGTTAGAACTACCAGGTCCTGCAGACTTGCCTTATACAACATTAGGAAGATCAGGCCCTTTCTTTCTGAACATGCTACACAAGCTTGTTCAAGCTTTTGTTCTGTCCAGGCTGGACTATTGCAATGCTCTCTTGGCAGGCCTTCCAGCCAGCTCTATCAAACCTCTACAACTAATCCAGAATGCAGCTGCAAGAGTAGTCATTAACAGGCTGAAAAGAACACAAGTCACACCTCTGTTCATCAATTTGTACTGTCTACCAATAGCTGCTCACATAAAATTCAAGGCATTAATGTTTGCCTACAAAACACAGGGCTCTCATATCTTTATAGTTATCGTTCTTGGTGTGAACGGGGCTTTAAATGACACCTACCAGCCAATCAGAAATTAGAATGTTGTTGTTTCCGTGTGATTCCGCTGCAAGCACGTTCATTACTAAGCAACATGAATGTGCGCACACACGGAGTGTAAGAGCAAGATCCAATGAATGCTGTAGGTAACCCATTATTTTTTTAGCATTTTGATTTTACGATTCCTGGATGAAATCACTTACCTGTGATCAAAGACAGTGAGAGCTGATGTTGGGGAATATAGGCAAATTTGTGCTAAATTATTATTGATGCAGTCAAAAACTCTCCAGCTGCTTTGCAACCAGAAGCATTAACTTAGCTTTGGCTCCCAGAAACTAAGGAAAGTACTAGCGATGTTATAACAATGGGTAAATCTGATAAAAGACAGACTAATTCATCCAAATAAAATAAATTAATTTATATATTTATTTAAAAAAAGTATCTAAAATAAAAATAAATTTGGCCCCAAACGAGCCAACTGAACATCATTTCTCAATGTACATACTGTGCACATACAATAGGATTGCATGCCAAGCTCTCTGTCTGTCTGTCTGTCTGTGTGTGTGTGTGTGTGTGTGTGTGTGTGTGTGTGTGTGTGTGAGAGAGAGAGAGAGAGAGAGAGAGATACACACATTTCGGAGTGCATATTTCAGCTTATGAATGTTTTTTTTGTCAAGTCAAGTCAAGTCACCTTTATTTATATAGCGCTTTTAACAATACAGATTGTGACAAAGCAACTGAACAGCATTAATTAGGAAAATAGTGTCAATAATGCAAAATGACAATAGTAAACACTCATTTTTCAGTTAAAGACAGTTCATCATTGAATTCAGTGATGTCAACATACAGCTCAGTTTAAATAATATCTTTGCAATTATGTCAACGATATCGCTGGGAATGAAGTGTCCCCAACTAAGCAAGCCAGAGGCGACAGCGGCAAGGAACCAAAACTCCATCGGTGACAGAATGGAGAAAAAACCTTGGGAGAAACCAGGCTCAGCCGGGGGGCCAGTTCTCCTCTGACCAGACGAACCAGCAGAACGGAAAAATCAATTTTGTCTGTTGTAAGTGTTTGTTGCACATTTTAAAGCCTGGATGACAGGGGTAGGGGGCTCCCACTTAAAGCACTGTGGCTTTCCCACTCAAATGCAGATGCAGAGAGAGTGTTCTCTATGGTGAGTTTGAACAAAACCAAAACTAGAAACAGTTTGGCTCTGGACATAACACTATTATCTATCACGACAGTGCTTTATGTGGGAGCCCTCTACCCCTGTCATCAAGACATCAAAATGTGCAACAAACACTTATAACAGACAAAAAAAAATTCATAAGCTGAAATGTGCTCTCTCTCTCTCTCACACACACACACACACACACACACACACACACACACACACAGCTTGACATACATGCCCAGGGCAAGTTCTGCAATCCTGTATGTGTACAGTAGCCTATGTACATCGAGTGCTGTTCTTCAGTTGGCTCGTTTCTGGCCAAATTTCTTTTTATTTTTGATACATTTGTATTTTTGAAATACATAAACCTATTTATTTTATTTGGATGAATTTGTCTGTTTTTTTTGTCTCTAATCTCCCTCCAAACTTTTGCTATAACTTGAGAGCCCTGAAAACAACTACTGGCTCTACACCCCTAAATTCATTACTTCAGACTTGTGTGCCTCCAGAAGCTTGTGTTCTGCAATTGAACAGAGCATTATAGTGCATCGCAAAGAGGCACAAAATCAGTTTTACAGACTTTTATCTTAACTGTTCCCTGCTGGTGGAATGACCTGCCCAACTCGAAGAGAGTAGCAGTCTTTAGCCATCATCAATAAACGACACATCTCTTCCATCTACACTTGTCCCTCTAACACTTGCACTCTCTATTCTATTTCTATTCTATCTACTTGCTTTCTTTTCATTTATAAAAAATATTGACCCTCTAACACTTGCACTCTCTATTCCATTTCTAATCTAACTACTTGTTTTATTTATTATATATAAAAAACTTGACCCTCAAACACTAGCGTTCTCTGTTCTTTTTCAATTCTATCTACTTGTTTTCTTTTTATTTATTATAAAAAACAAACAAACAAACTTGCTACGTGTACTGCGTTAAACAAACCGGGACTTGTCACAGCACTTATGTTGTTGCTATTTTGTTGGTTGGATAAAAGCGTCTGCTAAATATCTAAATGTAAATGTAATACCATGGTATTTTGACCTAATGATTAGCATATTAATGTACCAAGGTATTTACACAGTTCTTTGTGTTGCAAGCGCCATGCTCTACTGTTTGAGCTATAGGAATACTTTAAAGAATAAAATAGTATTATCATGGTACTTAGTAGAGTTCGACCGATATATCGGTTTTGCCGATTAATCGGCACCGATAGTTTTTTGCTGGAACTATCGGTTATCGGCAAAAATCCATGCCGATAGTTTTCTGGGTTGCATCCGTTGCTGGAACGGCTGAGAAGGGTCTGCTGTCATTACACAGTGCGAGAGCGGCCTTTAGTGGTTGAAATCACTGACAGCACATGCTATTTGTTTAGACATGTGATGCTGCATGCTGAACAGAGCGAGAAACTTCAGACGCGGATTAAATGCAGCCGACAGAAAATCCTGCCGCGCCACAGAGCGCCATTCACATAGTTTTTCATTAAATTACATTATATTTGTCCTGAATTGTTGTTAATGCTTCATTTATAGAGCTATAATATAGATTGCACTTTCTCTTTCCGTTTGCTCCGTTTTTTAAACACCAAACTTCAAACTCATCTATGCCTCATTGTTTGTTCATTCTTGAAGTAAACCTGTGTCTGTTTGGTGATTAAGTAAACTGTTTTAGATCGCTGCTCGAATTGAACGCGACGCGTCCAGAGTGTGTGTGATAGCGGTGAGTTCTCCTAGACTCAGCGCTGCGCTTTTATTTTGATTAGATAATCATCAAGTATTCAAGAATAGAAGAAGTTAAAGTGTGAGAGTATACATACAATATCCATATGTATATAATTTGAATGCTATGGCCTTTGTGTATATATTTAAAGATGTGCATCTTTAAGCAAGACTGTTGAAATGAAATGGTAAAACTTTAAAATAAGAGTCCATTTGTAACATTAAGATTAATGAAAGCTGTGTAATGAAAGTATTGTTCCTTGTTAGAGTGTGTTCATTTCAACATTTTTATTATTATTATTACTACTACTACTACTAGTATGGTTCAGTACTGTTTTTTTAATAAAGCATTATTTTAGTTTTTGTTCGGTATCCATTTTAAAAACTATCGGTTAATTAATCGGTATCAGCCAGTGTGGTCCAACCTAGCTATCGGTATCGGCAAAATCCACTATCGGTCGACCTCTAGTACTTAGTACACAAATGCTTGATATTATCATAAAATAAAAATAAAAAAGGAAATACCATGCTAATTTTTTTGTCCTGTTGCAAGGGCTCTCAGTCAAAGTCATTCAGTTTTGGTTTCTGAAACCGACAGTAAAGGATCATGATCTTTGCTCACCCACGATCATCAGCAGCTTGTCGTGCTCCTTGATGATGTAGATCTGAAACACGGATCCCAGACCCGGGATGTGAGTGAGGGAGTTCTTAATCACATTCAGGGCATAGAGACCTTCCTCGGAGCCAACCAATACAATCTGATGACATAAATAAGACGATGGTATATCAGACTACAACAAATATAGACTGAAAATAATGAAATAAATCTTGAAAAATCAAAGCGATTGTGATATTAGTGGATGATGCAGGTACCTGGTCAGTCAGCGGGAGGGTGCAGTTGATATCCAGGCGATCATCTCCTTCTAGCTTGAGTAAGGAGTTCCCCAACAATTTCTGTACAGAATCAAAAACACCATGAGGATGTGAAAAAAAATACATTTTTAAAAAGTGCATTTTTTATTTTATGCACTTCGCAGAGCTTTCAGCATTATCACATAGATTTGGTGAAAACTCACCTTTTTGAGATCAATATAGGTCACCTACGAGATTCGTGTTGATCCGATGAGAAAGTGTCTTTTTTTCATTTTGTGATAAGTGACAGTTTTGGACATACAACGTAATAAAAACAAAAACAATAATAAAAAAATAATAAAATAAATGTGTCTCGTGCGTGACCATGACAACAGCACAACTTCTCCGTGGACTGCATCTCATTCCGGTGAGCTGAGGAGACGAGGACTCTGGAGACCGAGAGCAGGGATGCAAACTTGTCACTTTCGGTGAAATTCGCCGTTTTGATTTCAGAATGGGTCATTTGTGTGATTCGTGTAAATCCGCTGAATTTTTTTAATAGTTTTGTGTTTTTAAAAAAGTTACTATTTACAACGTGTTTTACAGCGTTGAGTATTGTAGCCAATCACAGACATCTCAGTTGAAAGTAATAGCCAATCAGAGGTGTTTACTGTAGGTTAGTCAGTATCTGCTCTGAGCTATTTTTGTTTTAGTTTACAGAGTTCTACATGCTCGAAAATCTACCTATTATAACGAGAAATAAAGTAAATAAGAGATTGATTGTGTAGTTAGTTGATTATATCATTGATTAAATCAGAAGTTTTTGCGTGAGTAATCTCAGTCAGTTGCACCATAATGGAAAGCGCCCTTTGCTCGGCTTCTCTACATACAGTACTTCATTCACAACTTGAAGAAAAGTTTTGTTTGTCTACGAGGACCAAATGTCCACGTATAGTGTTTCAGGAATGACAAACGCGAGTGAAAAAAACATTCGCGAGTCGCTAAATTGTTCTGCAAGTCATTGCTTTGATTGACGGTGATAACTGAAGCAATGGACGGAATGAAACATCTGACAAGCCGATGTCAAAACAGAGCTGTGCTTTAAGTGATGCAGAGTAAATTCAGAGTAACAAAACTACAGCAGCAACAAGTCTGTTGGCTGAATTTATTTAGCAATTTCTACAGTTAAAGATAAAACATTAAACACTCTTATTGATGCGTCCTTTTTAAGGCAATGTTTCAATCTAAATCTAAAAATATTTCAAAATATTTAATGCATTATTATTTAATTGTACTTGCTATACTTCATACTTCAGTATAGTAAAAGTACAAAAATTTGTTATAATAGTCATTTTATAATAACTCCAAACGCAAGACGTGAAAAAAACTAGGGAGTGGAAATGGCAACTGAGCTAATTATTGCTGGTTATAATAGTAATTTTATAAAAGTAATTTTCATCTTAAGTCTTTGTTTTCCACCAGGATATTTTCATGTCATCTTCATGAATGAAAAGTGAATCTTCAAAGCGAATTTACTGCACAACTGTAGAGTTAAAAAAGAATTAATTTTTAATTTTTTTTGGATTGCGCGTCTTTGTCAACTTTTTCACCCATGGTGAGTTTGCATCCCTGTTATCAGTATGTTTCCCTGCATCCCGCTGTACTGGTAAGAAGAGACAAACCTACAGTTTCTGCCTTGCATGTCACTGCACTGACTCTTTAAATGTCACTATGAACGGCCTGTGGGTGTTTCAGGTTCCTCTCACTCACAGCGTCTGCTTCGGCTTTCTCTCTCGCCCCACGACTGCTGGCCACAATGGCTTCCAGCACGGCCACCCAGCGTTGTTTCTCAGAAAACCCCGAGGTCATGAGGTACAGAGTCTGACCGGGCCAGCATGTCGACTGCGGAGACGACTCCAACTTCACCACATACGGCACATCTGAACACATACAATTATGTTAGAAGACAGAAAAACATGTTACATATACTGGACATGGATTACTTTCTGAATCCACACTCAGCAGAGCAAAAAAGTTAGTAAGGACACAGTACAGTGCAATTCCACAGGTAACACATCACCTGTCTTGGCCGTGTTGGGCAGCTCAGAAGCACCGACAGCAGAATGAACAGTCACGTCTCCATCAGAGAGACACAACTCAAACTCATCCAGCGGCTTCACCGACTCTGAGAGGACAGATTATACATCATTCACATCAAGGCACATCATTCCACACCTGTCATTCCATCCCTGCTGGAAAATAGATGATTTTAAGGCGGTAACTAGATTAAAATGGTTTCTAGCTTGTCCATGTTGGTCATTTATGGCCATTGCCAGCTAAAAAAACAACCTAAATTGTAGGGCCCTAATTATGTCCTCATATAGTGAGATGGCAGACGCTGAAAACATCACAAGCTTCATGCGCTTCAGTATGAAAAATCACGCATCTGCGCCTTAGAGACACGCACAACATGCAGGATTCATAAGTCGTTTTGTGCTTTCATTCACAGAGAGTAGTCCATATCGTCATTTGATTTAAGTATACTGACCTACTTTTGATTTATTCATTCAAAATGTGTCGAATTCTGTGACATTCTATGTTTTACAGTACATTCCATTTTTATGACTGCATTCCACAATACCGTTCACGTTTTCCGCATCGCAAAAACTGTAGGGCCCCACATAAAAATTGGTGTTATCAAATTTAATTTTTTTGGTCAAACACAACCATACACAGTACAACGTGCAGTAAAATGCTTTTTAATCTTAGTGCATAGAATAGAATAGAATACAATACAATACAATAGAATAGAATACAATAGAATAATACAATTATATAAATAAAATAAAAAATTAGGAATAAAATATGCTAGTTTACATAAATTAGAAAAAAAGGCTAGAATAAGTAAAAGTGCGAAAAATAAAAACAAGCAAAGTGTGGTCAGATCACTTGTGACAGCACCATCAACCCAGTTTTTGATGGACAGGCTGGTTTGGATTGATGGTTTTAAAGGGGTTTTGTCAACTGCTCTGGTTGGGAGACCATCAGACCTCCTTAAGCTGGTTTAAGATGTCTAGATGGTTGATCAGGAGGAACTACCAGCCTAATTTGGTAAACAGCTTGGTCAAGATGTTTAAAGTTGGTAACCACCTAGATTCAGCCAAAACAAGCTACCACTATCCAAAAACCAGCTTGAATATGATTCAAGATTTTTCGACAGGGATGAACTGTTGCTCTGTAATAATATGCTGTGTGCAAACAGAACCGGTGAACATTGGGAAAAGTATAAACATTCACAGACCGTCTCTTGGTTCTGTCTCGTAGGTGATCACTTTATATCCATCCAGCACCACGTACTTCCTCTCCCAGCCCTGGCCACGCTTCCCATTTCTGCAGGAGGACAACCACAATTCCATGTACACTTAGTGTTTGCTTCTCTTCTGATGGTGGTATGGTCTTGGCACACGGCTCACCTGGGCTGCTTCAGCCATCCTTCCAGCCTCATGTGTCCTCCGACATCTTTCAGGCCGGAAGTGTTTCCCTTTTCCCGGCACAGAGCCTCGGACAGATGCAGTGCGTATTCGGTGGGCACGCCACAGGTGGCTGGAAGGTACGGGGAGCATTTTGGGTGGCACAAAGCATGACATTCTAAAGCAGGAGAGAGAAGATGGTTAAACCAACACAGAAGGAGGATCAGCAGCTTCAGCTTTAACCCAGGTTGACCTGATTGGGTCAGCGATCTGTTAAAAAACAACAGTGGGCCCTTTTCACAATTCTGTGTTTTTCAGAAGCACAAGTCATTATAGTAACTTCTATAGTGGTGAATGGACAATACAACAAAGCATTTCTGCGTTCCCATTGGCTCAAAAGAAAAAAAACTCAATATGACATTCCAAAAGAGAAAAAATATCATGCTTAATTTAGAAATAAAATATATTATACAGTATATTAATATTTTAGAAGTCATTTGTTTTCTGAAAAAATTACACCTTGCAACTGAATGAATAAAAGTGTGTGTGTGTGTGTGTGTGTGTGTGTGTAACTGGTATTTATCACGTTATGGGGACCAAATGTCCCCACAAGGATAGTAATACATTTTTGAGGTCCCCATGAGGAAACAAGCTTATAAATCATACAGAATGAGTTTTTTTGAGAAAGTAAATATCCACAAAGTCTCCTGTGAGGGGTAGGTTTAGGGGTAGGGTTGGTGTAGGGCAATAGCACATACAGTGTGTACAGTATAAAAACCATTACGCCTATGGAATGTCCCCATAAAACATGGAAACACAACATGTGTGTGTGTGTGTGTGTGTGTGTGTGTGTGTGTGTGTGTGTGTGTGTGTGTGTGTGTGCGTGCGTGCGTGCGTGTGTGCAAAAGCAACTTATTTTAGCGTCAGGTTTTATAGGGTTAACAAGCATAATTAATGTAAGTACCATAAGTTATGAGTACCATTACTGACCTCAGCCTTTTTAAAAATAGGCTTTCAACTTATTGATTCAGACTGGCTTTTAATACGTAGCAATGTTGTGACATTTTTGTATATTCTATGTATTTTATTGTCTACTATTTTACCTATTTTGCTGTAGTTTTATACCTCCGTTTTTACCCTCTAACTCTAGCACGCTATTCTAATTCTATTCTTTAAAAAAAACTTGCCCCTTTTAGACTTGCACTCTATTCATGTACTAACTGCTTGTTTTCTTTAAAAAAAACACTAGCTTCTCTATTCTTTTTCTATTCTATCTGTTTTTTTTATTATATAATTTAAAAAACAACAACAACAACAAAAAACCCTTGCTACGTGTACTGCATTAAGCTAACTGAGACTTGTTATAGCACTTGCATATCATTGCTCTCTTGTTGATGTTGATTGCTTCTATTGTCCTCATTTGTAAGTCGCTTTGGATAAAAGCGTCTGCTAAATGACTAAATGTAAATGTACTGTATTATTTTTTGCTCTTATTGGAAAGAACTTTGGTCACCTTGAGTGTTGTAAAAGGCTATAAAAATAAATGTTGATTGATTGATATTTGTATAACTGTATATTGATAATTAAGCATGAAAGTGACTGCAGGAGTCATTTATTTACTAAAATTAAGCCAACCAATGATGATTGCCTTTTTCACTGTAAAAACTGTCAACCTGTAATTTCTACTATTTCGACTGTATTTCCAGTTATTTTAACCCATAAAAAACAGTTTTGTTGGTATAAATAATTTATTTAGACTGATTCAGTGATGTTAAATAATATTTGACTTGGAAAACTGTTAATTTAGATGTTACCATTTTTTCAGTGTGGTTTCTCCACCCAACATTTGTGCAATGAAGTGAATACTGGTATTGGTATCGCCAAGTACCAAAAATATAAGTATCGCTATCATACTCATTATGGAAAAAGTAGTATCAGCACATCCTGACTTTTAAGTAAATTGATAGTGTATTTGGAAAGAGTTTACATGAGATCCGTACCGATGCATGTCGCGGCTTGCCGTCCAAAATGGACGGTGTCAAGACAGACGGTGCAGCGGGCCGCCCTCATGTTGAGCCCCTGCGTGAAGCGGTGAGGAGTGTTGTGATGAATCCTGTCCTTCACACGTCTGGTGTACTCTACAGGATCAAACAGACAGACACACTCTCTTAAAGACAGTCATGTGTCTCTTACACCCGTCTATATATCTTATGCAAACAGGCCAAAGCAAGCTGAAAATGTCCTCTCCTGAGAACATTTCTCCACCAGAGGGTGAAACACCAGCATCACTGTACTGTCCAAGCTGTCATTGGTAGCTTGGGTACGAGCATGCAAGGATTTCGGAGTTCTGGCATTCCGCATGGCATACAGCAGGAGTATGGCCATATATTCGAGATAAGCTCAGTGTCCTGACAGATCTGCGTGCAGGAGCTTTGGAGATCCACAATCATTTCATGATGTCCTGAGTGGAAGTCTGCAGCCATCGAACCATGATGACCTGACACAGCAAGTGTTTGTTCAATATATTGGGTGTAGAATGGCCAAAAGACTTCAATTGAAGCGTTTCCTTGAATGACATGTTTGTATTTGGCCAGAGAGCTTATCTCTGCAGGGATAAAAAGATCATATCAAGAAAGAAAAGATATTGGGGAGACGCCTGGATCACTCTCAGGAAACGGTGCCATTTGTGTTCCCATGACTGAACACTGCCACATTTAAAACACATACAGTATATTTGTAATATATATATATATAAAATACATATATTTAAAAATTATATATTTTATATATATATATATACACTGTATATATACACACATGTATATTAAATAACTATTTTAAATGGTATCTGTATGAATATATATATATATATATATATATATATATATATATAGGTTTCCTAATCAAGTCCAATCAGTATAATCAAACACAGCTGGACTCAAATGAAGGTGTAGAACCATCTCAAGGATGATCAGAAGAAATGGACAGCACCTGAGTTAAATATATGAGTGTCACAGCAAAGGGTCTGAATACTTAGGACCATGTGATATTTCAGTTTTTCTTTTTTAGTAAATCTGCAAAAATGTCAACAATTCTGTGTTTTTCTGTCAATATGGGGTGCTGTGTGTACATTAATGAGGGAAAATTAACTTAAATGATTTTAGCAAATGGCTGCAATATAACAAAGAGTGAAAAATTTAAGGGGGTACTGAATACTTTCCGTACCCACTGTATATATATATATAACGCTGTTATTTTGATAAATTTCCCCATTTTAAAATAATGGTTTGACCTTTCTGACATTATATATGATATGATAAATGATATCAAAGTCTTTCTGACCACATAGTTCAAACTGAAGTTTCTGTTTCAGTTTTATCTGTATTTTAATGAGTTTTAGGCATATATCAGCCTCATCTTGAAGGCTCATCAGTAACCTTTAAAAATGAAAGCGTAAATAATTAAATAAATGAAAAATCCTGATATTTCAATCACAGATGGCACGGTTTCTTGAGAGTGGGCCGCCTGAGCCTGTTATGTAAGAACTTACTTTCAGAAGTGGCTCTCCTTATTTCTGTGGAACGACAACAGAGAGGACAGTGAGTGTGGACAGACATGAGCCAAAACATTTCTGGAGTCCTTCAGAGGACACAGTCTCCTCATCTTATATCGAAACAGCATCAATATACACATCACATCAGCATTTTCCTACAAGCTTCTGATTTAATTTCCCTTTTCATAGCATGAGATGAAATGGCAAGAAGGACCAAGAGAACACAATTGTTGTTTTGCTTATGTTTTGAATATTTAAAAGGTTGCAAAAGCTCTGCGTCTGGCTTCTAACCTTCAGGATTGGCAGCGTCCTTCCTGCGGCCGGAGCTGGACGACACCAGGCCGCTGCTGGGCTGGTGCTCGGGGGATTTGTTGGATTTGGTGGACATCATGAGCTGCTGACGAGCCAAACCCGGAGTGGCTGGAGTACTGCTGTGCTCCAGAGCTTTATTAAACTGAACTGCTGAGCGGAGAGAATACAGTGAGACGCACTGAAAAAAACAGCACATCTGAGCATGTTACACACAGTATGTGGCACGTCTGCTTATTGTTTAATAGAATGTGTCATTTCAATAATGCTTTATATTACACTAACATTTGAAAGTCTCTACTGCTCACCAAGGCTGCATTTATTTGTTCAAAAATACAGTACAAATAGTTAAATATTATTACAATTTAAAATAACTGTTTTCTGTTTGAATATATTATAAAAATGTAATTTATTCCAGTGATGCGCAGCTGGATTTTCAGCATCATTACTCCAGTCTTCAGTGTCACATGATCTTCAGAAATCATTCTAATATGCTGATTTGCTGCTCAAGAAACATTTCAGATTTTCAGAAAGCTCAAAAGAACAGCATTTATTTGAAACAGAAATCTTTTGTAACATCATAAATGTCTTTACTGTCACTTTTGATCAATTTAATGCATCATTGCTGAATAAAAAGTGTACATTTCTTTCAAAAAGGATCTTTATCTTTTAAAAAATATCACATTGTTGTGGAAACCATGATTAATTTTTTAGAATTCTTTGATGAATATAAAATATTTAAAAGAACAACATTTATTTGCACTATAATTTGTTTGTAATACATCACGTTTGTAATATATATATATATATATATATATATATATATATAATATGTATATGTATATATATATATATATATATATATAACATATATATTTCACTTCTGATCAATTTAATACATCCTTGCAGAATAAAACTATTAATATTTTAAGTATTAATAATATTAAAAATCTTGCTGACCTCAATATTTTTAAACAGTACTGTATATTGCAATAATTGCAGTTATATATTGTAATTTATAATCTATAAAAACATAATAGAATTATAATATAATTTATAGTCTGCATTATCATTCTTTCTAGTCATAATTCAAGTGGAGTCTTATAATCTCTTTTTTCTGAGGAACACAAAAGGACAGTTTTCTGTGAAAGTTTTTTTCACGTTGCTTTTGTGTCGTTAACAAAAAACAAAAAAAAACCTTAGTCCCCATTCATTGCAACTTCAAGGAAAACAAGCAACCAAATTTAACGACGTAATTGTATGAAACAGCCAAACAGCATCTCACCCTCTCTGAGCTCCAGGCGTGTTTTCTGCAGGGCTTCTTCCAGCTCCGAGCAGCGAGTGCGTTCCTTCTCCAGCGCCACCTTCAGGTCGTTGTACTGCAGGGGAACAGGGGCCACGGCGGGCACAGCGGGCACCTGCGTCTGTCCCTGCGCCGCCAGCAGATCCTCTCGACGCCGGCCACCAAAGAGCCCCTGCACCCGAAACACGAGACCTAGTGAATCGCCCAGGCTCACGCCCACAGACACGCTAGGACTCTATCCTGCCATTCTATCCCTACATATCCACTCAAATTAGGTGTCCCTTTCTACAACTCACTTATTCAGGGCTTCTGCATATAAGGATATATATGAGATTTCTGACGGTTGGCGCGGTTAGTATGCGGTTATTTGCATGTGTAGCTCCAGGGACACCTAATGCGCAGCTCAGCAAGCAGTTAGTCAGATTAGTTAATTAAGTGAATTTACAGCGGATGACTCTGACCTTTTTCTTCTTAGAGGGGTGCTCTACCTTGGCCTGCAGGAAGTCTATGAGCTTGGTCTGCTGGGTGATGGTCCCCTCCATCTTGACCTTCTCGTGAGAGTACGCCGCCTGCAGAGGGAGCCACACTGCTATTAGAACACACCTGTGTTTGGAATGGAACACTAGCATTCTTGTCACCGCATACTATTTTTAAACTGTATGTAGTATGTAGCATGCAACAATTTTAAACTGTAAAATATGGTATATAATTTTGCATTATTTAATCCAATTTTGTGTGAAAGTGTCCTAACTTTTGATAGCTAATATAAAATAAAATTATTTAAAATAAAACTATAATAACATTATTATAAAATAAAAATTGTAATAAAAATCTACAATTATTCCTAAAAATCAATTCTTAAATTACTATAATTATTCATATAGATTTTGTCAGTTTAGATTAGTACAATCATACCGCATGCCTAGTATGAGTAGTATGGTTAATATTTCCATGCATCCGTGCACCTGTATGTTTTCCAGCTGGTACTCCAGGTCTGTCCGCTCGGTCTTCAGAAGGTCCGTCTGGTCCAGCGCGTCCTGAAGTCCTTGTGTCAGTCTGAAGATGTGGCTCTTCTGCATGTCCAGCTGCTGCTGCAGTTTTGCTTGCTGAGAGAAAACGATACACTGGTTATGGTAAAGATGCATGATTACACGGCTCTCAAAACTCAGAGGTGTAAAGAGTACCTGAAAATCATACTTGAGTAAAACAGCGAAAATCACTCCATTACAAGTTACAAGTCACCACTTCCAATACAACTTGAGTAAAGGTCTAAGAGTATCTGATTTGAACAGTACTTAAGTATTTTACTCGCTCAGAGATGAACTAGTCCTAAAATCCAAATAACATCTCAATATTGCAATAAATCAAGGTCAGCACAACATCTTCTTAAATGTCTACAAACACTCAAGTCTCACTTAAGTTCAAGTTCCTAAAAAAAGGCATAAGTCAACCAATATCCTTCAAAAAGGTATCTTTAGTATAAAGGATAGATAAAATAATGTTCAGTAAAAACTACAAAGCAGTCAAAATGATACTTAAAAGGAATTGTTCACCCAAAAATTAGAATTTGCTATTAATGTACTAACCCTCAGGCCATCCAAGATGTAGGTGATTTTATAATTCAGTAGAACAGTAAAGAAGATTTTTAGCTGAAACTGTGGTCCTTGGTGATTCGTAACATGCAAGTCAATGGCTACCATCACTTTGAGAGTCAAAAAAGCATGTACAGGCATCACAAAATTAATACCCATTGCTCCTGACGATATATTGAGATTGTAAGAAATTATAGTCTGCCTCGACCAAATTTCCACTCCAAGTAAACTATTCTCCTTTCTCTACAAAGAGCTTAATTATCATAGAGATAATTCTTTCCGATCTCAATAATATGTAAATAGTATCTCCTGAACGTTACTTCGTCACCTATAGCGTGGGAGCGGCAGTAGGCCATCAAGAACCATCTGCTGACCAAAAGGGTACTTGAATATAATTGCTAGGGATTCTAGATAATCCTATCACCTTAACATTTGGTTGTTTCCACCTGAAAGACTACCAAAGATGTGGGAACGGAAGGCTATCACTTTCATTGATATCCGCAATTTACATTTAAGACGAAACTTCATTTACATGTCTAGCGGGAAGATGAACGTAATAGAGTATAAAATGTTTGAGCGTAGGATGCTCGGAGTTCATTCTGACTCAGATGAATCCGAAGTGCTGCCTGTACTTTGTCACTGCTATTCTGTAATAAAAGTTATTCTTCATCAAGAGCTTCGACGTCTTCATTTTTTCTTACAAGATCTTATGAAGCGAAACGATTGGTCTGTGCAAGAAACTGAACATTATTTACAACATTATTACCCGAACTAGTGAATTGAACCTGTTCATTGAAATGAAATGTCCAAAAGAAGCAGTTCGCGGAAAAGAATCAGATATCCTATTTGCCTGATTACTGGTAATCTGTCCCTTCCTGTAGAGGGCGTCCATGTTTGGGGACCAGTCCAGTCTGTCGTCTAACTCCAGACCCTCCAGACCCAAATGGGTCTGGAGTTAGACGACAGACTGGACTGGTCCCCAAACACGGACGCCCTCTACAGGAAGGGACAGAGCCGACTCTACTCTACAGTAGTTGGTGCTGAACTGGACACCCTGACATCTGTAGCAGAGAAAAGGATCCTCGGCAAGATACTGTCCACCCTGGACAATGTCCACCACCCTCTGCACCAAACCATTTCCAGGCAGAGGAGCTCCTCCAGTGACAGGCTGTTGTCCCTGCCCTGCTCTAAAGACAGACTGAGGAACTCGTTTGTCCCTCAGGCTATACGGCTCTTCAACTCTTCCCTGTGAGCAGGACTTGAACTGGACTGTTGCTAATGAACTTTCTAGATTGATGGACACGGAATTGGTGTGCACTGCCGTCTTTTATGTCCCATGCCATCTATATACTTTTATCTTTGTACTGGACTTATATCATCTTTACAGTATTTTTATTACATTTTTACATATTTTAAATACCTGGATTTTGACTCTTACTATCTTTATAGTGTATTGTATTACATATCTGCACATCGTAAACACCTCTGTATATTTGAATATTTGATGCTGGTACCCAGCATCTAACGCTAGTATTTCCATTCATGCACTTATGTTTACTCTGTACATGTACTCTTTTGTTTTTTATTTTGTATTCTAAGTTTTTACTTTTTTATGTATGCTTTGTTATCTGTTATAATGTTGCTACTGGATACCTGAATTTCCCCCCGGGGATCAATAAAGTATCTATCATCATCATCATCATCATATTGTTGTAAATAATGTTCAGTTTCTTGCACAGACTGACTGTTTCGCTTCATAAGACCTCAGTATATCGTCAGGAGCCACGAGTGTTAATTTTGTCTTCCCTGATATGCTTTTTTTTTAATTCTCAAAAACGTGCAGCCGCTGACTTGCATTATAAATCACCAAGGACTATGGTTTCAGCTAAAAATCTGTCTTACTGTTCTAATGAAGAAAAAAACACCTACATCTTGGATGGCCTGAGGGTGAGTACATTAACAGCAACTACAGGTACATCTCAAAAAATTAGAATATCATAAAAAAGGTCAATATTTTTTGTCACTCGTTTCAGAAAGTGAAACCCATATATTATATAGATTCATTACACATAGAGTGAAATATTTCAAGCCTTTATTTCTTTAAATTTTGATGATTATGGCTTACAGATAATGAAAACCCAAAATTCAGTGTCTCAGAAAATTAGAATATTGTGAAAAAGTTCAATATTGGAAAGTCATGGTGTCACACCCTAATCAGCTAATTACCTCAAAACACCTGCAAAGGTTTTCTGAGCCTTTAAATGGTCTCTCAGTATGGGTCAGTAGGCTACACAATCATGGGGAAGACTGCTGACTTGACAGAAGTCATTGACCCCCTCCACAAGGAGGGTAAGCCACAAAATGTCATTGCTAAAGAAGCTGGTTGTTCACAGAGTGCTGTATCCAAGCATATTCATAGAAAGTTGAGTGGAAGGAAAAAGTGTGGTAGGAAAAGGTGCACCAGCAAGAATTTGGGGGAGCTTCACAAGGAGTGGACTGAGGCTGGCGTCAGCGCATCAAGAGCCACTACGCACAGAAGAATCCTAGACATGGGCTACAAATGTCGCATTCCTCGTGTCAAGCCACTCCTGAACCAGAGACAACGTCAGGAGCGTCTTACCTGGGCTGTGGAGAAAAAGAACTGGACTGTTGCTCAGTGGTCCAAAGTCCTCTTCTCAGATGAAAGTAAATTTTGCATTTAATTTGGAAATCAAGGTCCCGAAGTCTGGAGGAAGAGTGGAGAGGCACAGAAACCATGTTGCTTAAAGTCCAGTGTGAAGTTTCCACAGTCAGTGAGCTGATTGCCTCCATGCCACGCCGCACTGATGCAGTAATTCATGCAAAAGGAGGTACAACCAGGTATTGAGTGCATATAAATGAACATACTTTTCAGAAGCCTGACATTTCTGTTTAAAATATCCTTTTTTATTGATCTTATGTAATATTCAAATTTTCTGAGACACTGAATTTTGGGTTTTCATTATCTGTAAGCCATAATCATCAAAATTTAAAGAAATAAAGGCTTGAAATATTTCACTCTATGTGTAATGAATCTATATAATATATGGGTTTCACTTTCTGAAATGAGTGACAAAAAATATTGACCTTTTTCATTATATTCTAATTGTTTGAGATGTACCTGTATTCTATTTTTCCATTTAAGTATATTTACACTATTGTCAATACTTAATCATTTCAGTTCAAATATTTCATTTATTTGGTATGTATTTTGAGTGCTAGAAAAGTGAAGCACCTCGTCCATGAGCCTCTGTTTGAGTTCTCGCTCCGACTCCAGCTTCTGCTGCAGGCTGCGCGCGTTCATCTCCAGCATGGCGTGTTTCTTCTCCAGATCGCTCAGCTGATGAAGACAGAGTAAGTATGCACATCGTCATTTAGCAGATGCTTTAATCCACAGCGACACACACGTGCACTGGCACACTCACAGTATCAGAAAGACCTTCAGCTTTGAGTTTCTGGTCTTTCAGGGCCTGTTGCAGTATCAGGATTTCAGCTTTGTGCTCTTTGACCGCCAGTTCAACAGCCTGACGAGACTCAGAATTGCGCTGCTCTGCACGGAGTCTGGAAAACGAGAGAGAGCGAGCGAGAGAGAGTTATTCAACAATAAAGTGTTGGAGCGGCACAGTATGTCTCTTACTCAGTGTTTCTATCTCTATACTTAACGTTCATTATGTAACTCTTATATAACCATGGGCACTTCTGGCCCTGCGGACATTTAGAAAATAAACTGTGTTAACAAACTTTTAACACACTTTCTAGTTTTTTGTCCAATACTTATATATAAATATATCACAGCAGAATTATTTTTTCGGAGGATAGCTAGAATTTTAGGCATTTTATTTAATAATGCATGATAATTTGCATTAAAGATCTGCATTTATTCATTTATATTTGCATTAATGTCAACATTTTTATCATGCCTTCATTTATATCTATATTTATTTATTAATTAACAATATAAAATATTGAATTATATATTTTATATTATTATTATTATTTAATATATCTAAGTTTTCATTGTATAAAGCTTTGTATAAAGTCCTTTGTCATCATACTAATCCCACTAAATTTTTATTTAGTTAGTTAGTTAGTTATGTTATGACTATCCAAATGATGTATTATGTCAATATGCGATGGAAACAAACAAAAAAAAAAACGTTTTTTTGGAGTAAGGCTATATACATAGATATTATTTTACATATCCTAAATATATGCAATGGAATAATGTAATTATTTGCATTAAATATATACATTTATTAAATTTCATTTAGCAATAATAAATACAGAAATAAATAAAGGCCTGATAATAAAACGAAAAGTTCTGACATTATTTATAACTTTATTTGCTAATAATATTTGCATAATTTTTTCATATTATATACATCCTATATTTTACTAATGTATTTTTAGAGCTGCCTTACAGTATAGTTGAATTTTGTTTGCATCATTGAATCACTATTTTCTTGTTTATGAATGTAAAGCTGCTTTGAAACAATCTGTATTGTATAAAGTGTTACATAAATAAAGGTGACTTCACTGACTTTGTCATCACAGTAAACCCACTAAACTGAAATGTGACCCTGGACCACAAAACCAGTCATAAGGGTAAATTTTTTGAAATTGAGATTTATACATCATCTGAAAGCTGAATAAATGCGCCTTCCATTGATCTATGGTTTGTTAGGATAGGACAACTATTTGAGGGTGCAAAAAAATCTAAATATTGAGAAAATCTCCTTTAAAGGGGTCATATGATGCGATTTCAATTATTCCTTTCTCTTTGGAGTGTTAAAAGCTCTTGGTGCATAAAGAAGATCTGTAAAGTTGCAAAGACTAAAGTCTCAAATCCAAAGAGATATTCTTTATAAAAGTTAAGAGTCAACCACGCCTACCTAAAACGGCTCGTTCTAACACGCCCCCACATGTCTACGTCACTATGTGGGAAGATTTGCATAACGCC